ACACAGTAACAGTATCTCTAGAGTCTCTTTGAGGGAGGCTATTGTGGTTAGGTAATGTATTATGGTGTTACATTATATTAATCTTTCTTGTAAGTTTCTTTCATAACCTAAGAATCCATCTCAGCATTCAAAACTTCATGAGCCCAAGGGAGGTACATAGAATAGTGGTGGTGATGGAGACCAAGTCTAGTCTTCTCTTTTGATTTTGAGGGTACACAATCAGCATTGCCCTTATAGATAAGCTGTGAAACAAGGTAAAGGAGCAACTATTAGCTCAGATCTAGAAATCAAGGTGGAAAACTACTCAGGAAGAGGCACCAGTGACAATGATGAAATTTTATACATCTCTCAGGACAGAATAAATCCAATTTCCTCCACATGCTTTTCTTCTCAACTTTCAGACTTGCCCTGGGCTTTGTCTGTCTCCTAAAATCCCTAGGAGATAATATAGTATTTATTAGTAGAAAGAATCTTCTCAGGTAGGAGCCAGGAGATGTGAATTCTAGCTAGTTTCAGCTTTGTCACTTATTAGTATTATGACCTTAAGTAGGTTCCTTAACTAAGCTGGTATTTTCCAACCCAAACAATGCAAATTTTTTACTTGGCTCTAATATCTAAATTGGGCAGCTAGGTGGTACAGTGGATAGAGTGCCAGACCTGGAGTCAGTCAGGAAGACTCATCTTCCTGAGTTCAAATCTGGCCTCAGACACTAGCTGTGTGACCCTAGGCAAGTCACTTAGCCCTGTTTGCCTCAGTTCCTCATCTGTAAAATGGGCTGGAGAAGGAAATGGCAAACTGATCCAGTATCTAAAACCCCAAATGGGATCAGAAATAGTCAGACATGACTGAAACAACTGAACAACAACAACAGCTAAATTCTGTACCACACTTTCTTCAGGTCACTTTAAGAGCTATGGAGGGATAGATGATGGCTGTGAGTGGGCTGCAGAATGTTACTAATTTTATAATCGTGCTTCTCTTGTGTAGTCCTTATTATTGAAGGACAAAGAGAAGCACAGTTATAAAATATTATTCAAGAAATGTATGACTGGAAAAGGAAGTGAGTTAATCATATATCCAGAGATAAGGATGACAAATGGACCTCCCACTTACTACTTTGGTATCTGTACAATATCAAGAGATGGAAAGGAAGGCCTGAGTATGGAGGGCAAATTCCCTTGCGAAGGATCTGTGGGAGGTCATAAATAGAATAAGGCATAGGTGGTTTGTGACCTACACTGCTTGGAGGGAGTACCCACACAGGTTAAGTCACAAATCTAATATCACAGGTGCTATCATGGGTCTCACAATTTTAGTAGAGTAGCACTCTAAAAAGGGTAATATTTGAAGGTACAGGACAAAGGCATAAAGAAGAATCTTTTTAAAAATGTTTTCTGAGTTTTAAGAAGTAAAGATTAAAACATGTCATGGTTATAGTATAACAATGAGAAGAACTGCTGCTGGGTAGGCCCATAAAGGCTACTATACTACTCCTCCACTAAGGAGTTTCTCTATTCCAGACCCAAACATTCATTTGGGTAATATTTTATTTCTTCCCAATTACATGTAAAATTTTTTTTGAACATTTGTTTCCTAAAATTTTGAGCTCCAAATCCTTTCCTTCTCTCTCTTCCTCCCTCTCTGATACAGTAAGCAAATTGATATAGATTATCCATGTGTAATCATGCAAAATATATTTCCATATTAGTCATGTTGTGAAAGAAGACAAAAAAAAATAAAGAAAGCAAAAAATAGTATGCTTCAATCTCCATCCAGACTCTATTAGTTCTTTCTCTGGAGGTGGATAGCTTTTTTTCATCATGAGTCCTTTGGCATTATCTTGGATCATCGAATTGCTGAGAAGAGCTAAGTCATTCATGGTTGATCATCATCTAATATTGCTGTTACTGGGTAAATGTTCTCCTGGTTCTGCTCACTGCATCAGTTTGCTTAAGTCTTTCCAGTTTTTTCTGAAATCATCCTGCTTCTCATTTCTCATAGCACAACAGTATTCCATTACAATTATATGCCGCAACTTGTTCATCAGTTCTCTGACTGACAGACATCCCCTCACCTTCCAATTCTTTGATACCACAAAAAAGAGCTGCTATAAATATTTTTGTACAAATAGGTCCTGCTAAGCATTCATTTGGACTAGGTTTAGTTATTGAGGAAACTGGTTTCTAAAGAGAGGGAATAGGCTCCTCTTTCTCACTCTCTTTGGCTCATTAACCCTCCACTCTACTACCATGGAGAAAAATTTACTAATTAGCTTATGTTATGGCTCATGTCTAGGATTTCCTCCAAAGGAGCAAGTAAAAAAGGTATTCAATGTTTAATGATTCAAGTATTGTAGAAGTTTTTTATGCCTACACATATGCTGAACATAAAAGACTTACAGCATGTAGTAACAGAACAGGATTCAGTAGCTTAACTTATGACTACTGTTACAATCTTCTGGTAGGCTGATACTTAAATCTCACCTATTGCAGGACTATTATTTAGGCTTTTTATATTTTACCTCATCTCTTCACTGTCCAAACAATTCCCATTATAGGTGTGCTGGTAAAACAGGCAGCACGTGTGTTTTAGATGCCTCATGGCCCTATAGAAACTGGGTTGGGGGACACAGCAAACTGCCCCTCTCACCATCCTTCTCTTGGAAAGTGGCTCCAAGCATTCCTGACACTATTTGAAGCTGGAAAGGAAAAGCCACTTACTCCATTTAAATAACCATTGAATCCTCACATCTTCAGCCTCTGACTTTTTATCTTTCCAAAGTGCAAGCTCTTTAGTTCTGAGTCACACAACGTTAGAAGCAGGTCCCAAAGCTCCCACAAGGTTGACCAGAACCCCAAATGGCAACTCTAGGAATGTTCATGGGATAGGCCAATTTAACCTCTGCTACAATAAAAAAGGTTTTTCAGGCTAGTAAAAATTTTGTCAAGGAACATTTGTTGGAAAACACTCCCATCACAGACTCATAAGACTATGGCAAAAAGCTAAGTGACAATTTGGTCCAGCCTTTTCATTTTACAGAAGAGGAAGCGAAGGTGAACTGACTTTCCATAGGTCAAACAGGGCACTCTGTACATAGAAGAGTTTGGAATCAAACCCAGGTGCTCTAACACCAAGTGTAGTATTCTTTCCATCGTGGAACTGCTAACTTGAAAATTTGGATCTTCTGCCTGCAAGCTGATTATTCTTTCCACTTCCCCACTCTTTCAGACTCCAGCTTGGTCTAGCTACTCAACACTGCAATTCCCATTCCAGATGAGAATCCAGGGGACTCATTTGTGCCTTTCCAGAGCCTGATCCCAGGGTAGTTCTTTCAACTAGGCTTTCAAGTTCTAGATTTCCCACTTCAACTCAATTCCCAAGCAACATCAAGCCAAGTCCTATGGCTCTGGAAAGACCTTAAGCAGCTCTGACTTTCAGCTATAAAACCATTCCCTGATAATTTTTTTATTAATTTATTTAGATTTATCAACAATCACTTCATAAGCTTTTGAGTTTTAAATTTTTCTCCCTTCCTCACTGCCTCCCTCCCTAAGATGGCGCGCAATCTGATATAGGCTATACATATATATTCCTATTAAACATATTTTCATATTAGTGATATTGCAAGGAAGAATTAGAACCAATAGGAGGAACCACAAGAAAGAGAAAACAAAACAGAAGGAAAAAATAGCAAATAGTATGCTTCAGTCTGCATTCAAACTCCATAGTTCTTTTTTTGTATGTGCACAGCATTTTCCATCATGAGGCCTTTGGAGATATCTTAGATCCTTGTGTTGCTGAGAAGGGCTAAGTCTATCAAAATTAGTCATCACACAATGTGGCTGTTACTGTATATAACATTCTCCTGGTTCTGCTTACTTCACTCAGCATCAGTCCATACAAGTCCTTCCAGGTTTTTCTGGTCTGCCTTTTCTTACAGCCCAATAATATTCCATTATATTCATATACCACAACTTGTTCAGCCATTCCCCAATTGATGGGCATCCTCCCAATTTCCAGTTCTTTGCTATCACAAAAAGAGCTGCTATAAATGTTTTTGTACATGTGGGTCCTTTTCCCATTTTTGTGATCTCTTTGGTATACAGCCCTAGAAGGACTATTGCTGGGTCAAAGGGTATGTACATTTTTATAGCCCTTTGGGCATAGTTCCAAATTGCTCTCCAAAATGGTTGGATCATTTCACAGCTCCACCAATAATGCATTAGTGTTCCAATTTTCCCACATCTTCTCCAACATTTATCATTTTCCTATTTTGTCATGTTGGCCAATCTGATAGGTGTGATGTGGTACCTCAGAATTGTTTTGATTTCTCTAAGCAATAGTGATTTAGAGCATTTTTTCATATGACTATAGATGGCTTTAATTTCTTCATCTGAAAACTGCCTACTCATATTCCTTGACCATTTATCAACTGGGGAGTGACATGATAATTTTTTTTTTATAAGAACCTTCTTCAGTATAACACAATAAGGAAAGCTGCTAGTATACTTTCTAAAGTTCTAGCAGGCAGTGGGGAGGACAGCTCAGTATCAGATTTTAGAAAAAAGAGCCTGGACTAGAGATAAGGAACTCTGTTCCCATAGATCAAAACAGCGATCCTCCTCTTCTCTCCTTAAAGCACTGAAGGCCCTGCTTACTGAGGGAATGGGTAAGTGAGCGACCTTCACGTTTCAGTTTCTCTGCACCGGTCTTTGCAATGAGGAAGGTCAATCATCTCCCAGAGAAGTCTAAATCACAGCCACATTCACATCCCTACACCTCCTCATCCCCACACTCACACATCCCTCCCCGTCCCCTCACTTTACCAAACCCCAAGGATTTTCCATTTTCCATTTAAGAATGAACCAGCTCACGAATGCGCAAGCGCAGTTCTTCAATCCTGACCTCCGCCAGAGAGCCCACCCTTCGCTCCTGCTGGGCTAGCAGGCCAATAGGTAGCAGGCGTGGAGGCGGGGCCTGAGGAAGGGAGGCTGGGGCATTCTCCTGGTGCCTTCGCTTACACTCGCTGTGTTTTGGTCACGTGGCCGGCTATGGCTCTGGGCGCGGCGCTTGTTTTGGTTTCTTGCTGGCTCCCTGGGCCCGCGGGCCAGGCGCTGGGTGGGCAGCTTTCCTGCCCCAGCTTCAGGTCCCTCCTGCACTCCAGCTACCAACCCTTAGCTACCCCGTTCCTTTGGAGCCGGCTAGCGCCATGCCGCTCCTCCGCTACTGGAAGGTGGGGCTCCCAGGATACCGCTCGGTAAGTGAGTTCTTGCAGCGCGCCCGGAGCTGGAGAACGTCCGGCTGCCCCTGTGGAGCCTAATGCATTTAAGGTCCGTGGGTGGGTGTCCTCAGGGGCTGATGGTGCAGTAAGCGCGGGCACGCAAGCGTTAGTAACCAAGATGGTGACTCACTCGTGGAGTGTGAGCTGTCTCAGGTGGGCTGGGGGCTTAGCTGCCTGGGAGTGCGCAACGTCCATCCCCTGCGTGCCTAGAACGCTGAAGCTGCTGCTCCAAATGCCCTGGGGAGAGCTAGTTGGTGGGAGGCGAGTGGGGTTGGACTACAGGATCCAACCTTGCCTACCTAAGCTGTTGGCTTCCTGTGGCTGGATCCAGTATGCCTTGAGCTGAAGACACTGCTAGCTCTCCTCCCGGGGGACTTTGGGAATCAAAGCCCTTCCCTCACCCCGTCCCAAAGGGTTTTGATTCAAGCTGGTCCCTTAGTACTGGAGCTCAGTCGGGGTATGGGGGAGAGCATTATTTTGCACATCCAAACCACTATTTCCCTCAGGGAAAACATCCTTGGCCCATCAATTTGTGGAAGTCGAGTTCTTCGAAGGCTACGACCCCCCAGTGCAAAGCAGTGAATTGGGATGTTTCTCAGGGGCAGGGTTGTTCAGAGTACATGTGCTGTAGATTGTTTTGGCTCCCACTGATTTATCAGGATTCTCCCATGCCAGTAGACTGATCTTGATGCACCCTTAACCTTAATCTCCCACATTTTTTTGTTCACCGTTGAAGGTGGGAATTAGAGGTTTGGAAAAGGGCTAATGCATTGGGTCTCCTGGCTCTGTGGCTAACACAGCTCCTCCTCCCTCCCGACTTTTTCTGCTCTTTAGACACTTCTTCCCGCCTCCCCTAAACACTCACAGATCCATCACCATTCTTTAAAAATATTTGTTGGGAGATTCAAGGTACTGTTCCAGGTGCAGCAGAGTCCTTAGCCACCGACCAGTCTCCCCAGCTTACAGCAAGCCCTTGACTACTGTCAAGAATAAGTTTCATCTACACTTTGTGGACACAGCCATTTGGAGAGGGAGGTACTTCGAGTGGTAGCCCTATCCCTGGGACAGTGATGTGTTACAGCTTCTCTGCCTGTTCAGTTGAGAAGAATGAAAAAATAAAGTGTCAGTCCCTAAAAATTACCTTGTATTTATTTTGCATATAATTATATGTGTATATATTTTATCTCTCTCTGCCTTCCTCTCATAAAATGCAAATTTCTCGAGGACTGGGTCTGTTTCGTTTTTACTTTGCTCTTCCAGAGCCTAACACAGTATATGTTGCATAGTCGTCACTTAATAAAGCTTGTTTATTGATTGATTAAAAGTGCTAAATCCTTTCTGGATCTTCTATTTCTTTTTCATCTGCTCCTTCAGAAACCAAAAACCTTGTTAATTTGAAATGGCTTTGGTGGGGAGACCCCCAGAATGTAGATCCACCAGCACTGAGTTGACTGAGGAGGTTTTGGATAGAGTGTCCATTACCATCTATGGGTAAGGGTGATGGTCGCTGTGTTTCATGTCAGAATGAGTATATCATCTTGTCCTATTTCTTCATCACCAAGGTCTGTTGCTACCTGCTGAAGTACTCTGTCATCTCTCTGCTAAGGTAAGTGACTAGGATGAAGGAGGGAGGAAGGGCAGAAGGGCTGTAGACTGACCTGAGGGCTAATGTTATAGCAACTTTTTGCCTCTGAGGCTTCTAAGCCATCAAGAGTCTGCATCACAGACTACATAAATGGGAAAACCCAGTGAGTGATCCTTGAAAGATTAAGTCAAAATGCTTTATTACTATCGTGGGAAAGGCAAGTTTCCCTAAAGAGCTGTAGTTTGGTCAGGAGGCCACAAAGTAGATTATATTATGGACTATTCTGGTAGGGAAAAAGTGCTAGCCATAGGGTCCAGGGGTTTTGGTCTATAAATTGAGCACCTAGAGGGCCTCATGTGGTCTTGATGTTGAAGGTTCCCCACTCCTGGTCCAGATCATTCCTGATGGAGAGGTACCTTAGATGGACTCAGGCTAGTTGAAAAGAAACAGGTGCTTGAGGTCTAGAAAAGTGACAGTTTTTCTCTTGTAGGGTGCCTGGGGTGCTGGGGGAGAGGGAAACAAGGCAAACCTTCTTCATGATGTGGTAAATGACCCACATCAACTTTTTGTGTTGGAAAGAATGCTGGACTGGGAGTTGGATTTGTTATGGTTCTAGCTCTGACACTGATGAACTATGTGAATTTGGGCATGTAATTTTAACCTTTGAGTCTGTTTTTATATTTGTCTGGAGTGAACTAAATGGCAGCATAGTGAATTTGGAATCCAAGTACCTTACTTTGAATTCAAGCCTGTCATTTACTGGTTGTGTGACTGTGGGCAAATCACTTAATTGTTCTGTGCCTCAGTCTCCTCATCTGTGAAATGAGAGAGCTGATCTCTTATCACATGATCTCTAATGTTCTTTTCAATTCTGAAAGGCTATAACTTCATACTTGAGGCTCTAGCTTTACATTCAGCCATGAGATTTCATTTTTCTCCTTCCCTTTCCTTCCCCAGTTTAGGGATTTTGTCTGGAGATCTAAATCAGGAGAGGCTTAGAAGACTAGCAGGCCTTGCAGGAAATCTTGGGGATAAATGTGATTCTTGACTCTGTGTCCCAAATCTGCTTCCAGGGAAGTTCAGATAATTGAAGGGAAGAAGCTAGTGAGGCCTGGGCAGCCATCTTCTTAGAATCATCAACTCAAGAGAACCATGGGCAGGATTTGTGGCTAGACTTGTGGTTATGGCACTGGCACTGCCCTAGAAGGCAGGAGAGAGCACATCTCTTTAACTATAAAAGGTCTTTTTGGTGGATGGTGTTAGAATATTGGCCTATGTCACTTTATCCCTTGTATCCCTGCCCCTTTCAGGTGACTCAGAACATCTCTACAAAAATCATTGAAGAGATTGCCCAAATGAAGAACTCTTATAGACAGGAGTGCTGTCATATATGAACCTCAAAGCAGTGGTAGCTAACTTCCTTGATGTTCCTAGCAAATGGCAGGTTCCTGGGGGTGATGGGCCAAGACTGTTTCTAGAAAAAGTGCCCAGGACTCTACAGGTATTGGTGCCACAAAGTCCTTCAGATTCATATTTCTATATTTTCCTAGAGCCTCTGGGCCTTGACTGCCTCACTACCAGTGTTTACAAAGAGGCCTAGATGACAAATGGGCACTAGTTTCTGGTCTTTCACTTCTATTAAAGGAACTCTGTTGCCACTATTGAAATTTGTTCCTTTCTGGCTCCTGGACTTCTGTTCAGAAGTTATTTAAGACTAAGGCAAGGGGCAGCTAGGTGGCACAGTGGATAGAGTATTGGCCCTGAAGTCAGGACGACCTGAGTTCAAATCCGGCCTCAGACCAAACACTTGACACTAGCTGTGTGACCCTGGGCAAGTCACTTAACCCCAATTGCCTTAAAAAAAAAAGACTAAGGCAAGGGCCAGAGTTGGTTTCTTTGGGGATCCTTTGAAGGATATAAGTATGGCAGGGTAGGGAAAACTGGGAGCTTCTGCAATGGAGCAAACTCCTCAACTGCTTAATTTCTATTTGCAAATAAAACCCTCTGTATCTGGGAAAAGGATACATACTTTTCCATTCTGGTCTGTGAGCTTTGTCTGTGGATGTAAGCATGGGCCTTCTCTGGGTGTATTAGTACTCTGAATTCTCTACTTCACTTTCTTCCTTTCCCTCAACCCCTGTCCCTATTTCTGTTCTTTGACTTACATCTGTCCAGTGTTTCTTAAACAGTTTAAAAAACGGCTCAAGGCTTCCACAGTGGAAAAAATTTAAGAAGGCCTGTCCTAGTCCACAATTATATTCTGCCCTTTATTTCCCACATACACACCTTTTGTTAGAAGTTTGCTGACTCCACTTACTAGTTGTGTAATAGATAAGGCAACCTCTTTTAGCCTGTCTGCCCCACATGTAAAAGTTGGATAACAATACTTGCCTTACCTCTCACAGGGTTGTTGTGAGGAATGTAAACCATAGAGCGCTGTATGAATAAGTTATTATTTTCTCTTTTTTGCTCTTCCTGGACTCTGTGTGTGGGCTGAGCCAGTTACTTGGGTTTTAGGCCTTTATTCCTCTCCTGAGCTTGGTGGTGGGTAGGGTGGAATGAGCATGCTATGGTTTTTCATAGTCTAAATCCCTGGGTTACTTTTTTACTACTGAAACACTGCCCTCTAGTGAGCAACACTGTCAACACCTTTATCCCACCAGTTTTGACCCAGCTGAATTGTATGTTGTAGTAGACCTTGTAGGTGAATCTAGGGCAAGTGTGTGTGTGTGTGGGGGGGGCAGCAGCTAGGCTTTGAAGTAGAGGTTGGGGTGGAGATAAGGTAGCTGGAAGGAAATTGTGGGGATAGACTGGAGGTAGTGGCTAGACAGATTTTCTTCCCCACTGGAGAAGCTCCTGGACATCCTGGACAGTACCCCACCAAAGCATGTCTCCCTTTAAATCTTCTTTTGGGCTCCACAGATTCTATTCTTTAAATGCAAAATGCTGCTGTCCTGATTCCCTGGGTTGTAAGTCCAACCAATTAATTTTCTCTCTATTTTTTAGATAGATACCAAGTTGGCTTATATGGTTCCAATGTGGAGAGTACGCCTATCCTTCTCTGCCCCACTGGATCCTTAATACTACTTTAAGAAAAGCCTTACAGTTGTTAAGTATCACGTCATTGTTCAACTAGGGCAGAAGAAGCCCTGGGTAGAGTGGGGAGTTAGGCTGGGATGACTGCATTGTTGCTTCTCCAGAAGTTCACAGCCCTGCTACCTGATTTGGCTGGACTCTCCTATGGCCTTAATTTCCAGCTGGAGCTCCCTATTTGGGGATAAAAAGCAGAATCAGAAAACTTTCAGTTGCCATGTCAAAATGTCTTTTAGGCCTGTCCAGCCTCCCATCAAAGGGTCAAAGGCTCCTACTTGAAGGGTGCATTGAAATCTAGGATCCTGTTCAATTTCCACCTTCCCTAGTTAAGGACAGTTCCACTATCTGACTTTTAAGTTGTCTTGGCTAAAGGGCCCAGAGAGTTGATTTCTAACAAGGCTTGGGGAAAGGGGGGCAGTGCTGTTGAGTTGCAAATTCTACCCCCATTCTACACCCAAATGGCACTATATCTCAAAGTCATAGGAATCTCTGTAGCCTAGATCTCTCCCATTCCTGGGACAGACTGGGGTAAAAAAGATAATTAAAAACCAGCTCCCTTTTAGCTGAGACCTGACCCACTGGCAGTAGAGTATTTACCCTCTGTGTTTTTTGTGTTGCTTCTGGGAAGAATAGCAAACATTAGAAATCCCTAAAAATTGTGTAAATATGGAGTAGCCTCAGTGAATTTGAAGTCCGTTTCCTGAATGTTGTCTTTCTTCCTGGGTTTTGTAGCCATTGTATCATTCCATCTACTCTCCTCTTCTCTGGGATTAGTATGTCTGTTTAAAACGAGTAACCTGGGGTGCTGGGGAAGCCTCTTCCTGAAAAAGGCATCTTTTGCTTTGTGGGAATGGTTCAAGAGGTGAGGAGAGAAACTGAAGCTGGGAGAGGGGGCTGAAACCCAGCCCTCGGGTAACTTTGAATTTAGGGTCCAGAGGGACCATTCCCTCTCCCTATTTGTGGCTTTGGAAAGGCCCAGAACCAGGATTATGGGCCCAAGGAAGCTCTGCTCCTCTAATAAATGAGAACCTCTTCCTCTCTCGTACCCAGGTTTGCAAGGATTGTGTTTCAAGGGGATTTTCTCTCAATTGTCCTGAGAAACTATACTTGGTCCAGGAAACAGGAGCAAGCCTGCGAGGTAGTCTTCTTTGCCATCCATGCCTTTCTATCCGGAGGAAATGAGGGGGCATGCAGTTCTCTCCACTCCTCCCCAGACTCATTTTTCTCCCAGGAGAAGCTGGGGCTTTTGCTTGGGTCTTCTACTGTGTCCAGACCGTAGAGAAAATCCTTCCTGTGAGAGCTAAGAGCCTATTCCTCACTTTCTCCGTTTGGGGACTCCAGTTCCCAGGATGCAGAGCAGTAGCCAATCCCCAGTCTCCTCTTCTCTTCTTCCATCCCCCTCCTTAAGCAAGAATGCCCCAGGACCAGGTGGGGGTGGGGGGTGCTAGAGTTTCGGGTCCTGGTGATTCCAAGGATAATGCACTGAGAGAAAAGGCAGAGGAAAGAGGGACTTCTGGGTTCCGGGCTCCAGTCGGAGCTTAGGCCGTTCTGGAAAATGGGAAGGAAAGACAAGAGCTTAGGGGAACTTCATTCCCACGTGTCTGCGCATCGGTCTGACCGGCGCCGTCGGGGTTAACCTCAAGCGGAGGGATTCTTCAGCGTGTGCGCAGAACTGCAGAGTCACAGCCTTTCCCCGAAAGAACTGTGTCCCTCCGCTGCTCAGGTCCAACACAAAATAGGGCCTCGTCCTCTCCTTTCTCCCCTTTTCGAGTTGGGTCCTTTGGCACCAAGCCCCACACGATTCTTCCGCAGGAGGCTACCTGAATCTCTACGCCCGTCGTCGACATCTCGGGCCAGGAAACAGCCCGGTTCGTAGGATCCACCCTCCCGGCCGCGCAGGAGGCGGAGGGGGGAGGCGGAGCTGTGTCTCCGCTGCACTACTTTCCTGTCCGGTTGCAAATGGCTGCCTTGGTCCCCACTTTCCGCTCAGTTTCCTGACCCCCGGCGCCGGGAGCCGGGGCTGGGCCATGAACCTTTAGATCCCCGGTGGTCTTACCCTGCACAAGCTAGTGGAGTGCAAGCCAGTCTGATCCGGCCAGATCGGAGTCGGGGCAGCCCTCGGAGCAAGAGGGGAAGGGAGGAGAGAGCTGGGCCCGGAGCGGCCGGAGAGGAGCGGGCAGAGGGTTCCGACCGCCCGCTCCTTTCTCACCCAACCCTCCCTTCCCCGGGAGGAGCCGAAGGTGCGGGGCCCGAAGCCGCGGAAGGAGAGAGAGGTTGGGGCGGAGGCAGCTGGGCCCAAGCGTGTGTGTCAGTTTGACTCCTGAGGCCCTGCCGGCTTCGCTTCAATGTAGCTAAGCTAGCACGGCCTCAGGGGGCCCGAGGCGGGGAGAGCCTCAACGTTCCATCCGAAGTCTCAACGTTCCATCCGGGCCAGCTGGGGAAGAGGCTCCGCGTTCCAATCGGGCTGGCGAGGGGGAACCTACAGCGTTCCATCGGGAGCATTTCAGCCTTCCACCGGGAACCGGGCGCTGGGCATCGGGGGTGGGGGTGGGGGGCGCCCGGCGGGCCCGGGGCTGGGAGGCGGACTGGCTCGTCGGATGTGAAGACTGTTCGGCCGAAGATCAAAGCCACCGGTGCTCCCTTTGTGTCGGCCTTGGATTCGCCGCCCCGGGGCTTCACTTGGGAAACCTAAGCTGCTGGGATCGAGGGCAGAGAACCAACTCCCCTCCTTGGTGTTTTCAGCCACTTTAAATTATTTTTGAAGTGGGGGGGGCCGCTCCGACCTGGATTTACCGTTCTTGGCCCCTCTTTGGCCCCCCCCGTGTGGGGGGCGGTTGTGATCGTCCTGGCGGGTGGAGGTCGGGGAGCGGCCGGAGCTGTGGCCATGTTCTCGGGTGAAGATTTCTGGATCGCCCTGTGAAGAGGTGAGTGAAGTCCGTGCTGCCCGGGCCCACTTATGGGTGCAGCCAGATCATGTCCCCTAGCAGAGACCAGCTTCTAGTCGGGGGACGGGGGTGTCAGAGCTCAGGGGAGGGCTTTCCTGGCAGTGTCCGTCCACGGACCAGAACCTGGAGTGAGGCTTGCCTTGCGGCCTTGTGTGTTGGGGTGTGCCTGAGAACCGGGAAAGATGGCTCAAGTCTTCCCGCAGCCCAGGTGTGTTTTTATTTGTGTGTGCTGGGAGGATGATCGGCTATGGGGACTGGCTAGAGTTGTTCCAGCAGTCTGCACACGCCCCTGGGGCTGCTTCCTCTCCCGCCTTGTTTAGGCTTCTCGTGTCTTGGGGAGGTGGGGACTGGGGAGAACTCCACCGCTGGGTTTGACCTTAAGCCCCACACACACACACTTTTAACAGGCGCCATAGACAAGGGGACCCCTCCCGCCTTCACCTCCATTCCCCTTTCCTGTGCGTGCAATAGGAGGAGTTCCTGTAGCCGGACTTGTATGATGGAGGGGGTGGCAAAGTCTAGAAGGAAGCAAGAGATGGCTCTGATGCATAACCAAAAAAAAAAAAAATTTACTCCCTATCCAGTAAAGCAAAGTGACCACCCTGAGGCCTAATGCTGTCGCAGTCCTGTTGCCTTCCCTCTCTTGGGGATGGACATAATCTCCAGAGGATTATAGAGGAGGCTGGAGAGATTTGTTTCCTGCGAATGTGGGCCGGAAAAAAATGGCTTTTGTTTGTGGCTTTCTCCGTGTCTGGCCTGGAGGGTCTGCTGCCCATGAGCCCCTGGCTATTCCCGCCTGCCCTTTTTGGCCCCTCCCACACCTCTCCAGCCTTTTCCCAAGTGGGGCTTAACCTGGTCCTCTGATTTGCCCCGGCTGGGCAAATAGGGTGGCCTTGCCTTCCTCAGAGGGGAAGTGGCCAGATCAATGCTGACTCTGCTAGAGGGCCTGTGACCAGGGTTCTGGGCATTTGTTCAGGATACAGTATTATGCTCACTTCTCCTGGCTTTGTACAGGGACAGGTGCCTTTCTTCTCAATCTCCCCACCTGTCATGCTGTCCAGAAGGGATTTGACTTGAGTCTCCACTTCCCACCCACCCCTCCCCCACCCCAGGTTTCCCTAGGCCCAGCCTAGAAACTAGGGAAGTATGGGCTCTGTCCTTGAAATATTTCTTAGTGTTAACCCTATAGTGAGAGATGGCATTGGTGGGGGTATAAAATGAGGTGGTATCTGTGCTTCTTGTTTCCATCTCTTCTTTGGAGGCTCCAGCCCTATTCATTGATAGAGTCTCCTAGTCTCTAAACTCTCTTCCCCCACCCCCCAGTATTACTCTAGTTAGGTGTGGCTGACCCCAGAGTAGGCCAGGGACAACCCTGGGAGTCCATAGGGACAGCTTTCTGTCTTTAAGGTCCTTTCTTGGGGGGGGGCTTTCCCCAAAATAAGGGTGAAGAGAGGTGTGGTCTGATCATCAGGCTGGGAACAAGGAAGTCCTGAGTCCTTCAGCAGAACTAGCTGTTCACCCAAAGGCTCGGTTAGGCCCTTCACCTCCCTAGGCCCCAGTTTCCCAATTTTCTGGGAAAAGGAGACTTGAACAGTTGGCATGGGTGGAGGGGTAAAGGTAGGGGTGGGGAGGGGGAATAGAGCTGAAATAAAACTAGTCTCTTTTCCTTTCTTCCTTAGGACATTTTGTTTGGGAAAGTAAGCAAAACCAGTCAGTCTCTCTCTGCTCACTTTCTGGGGTCCTCCTAGGTCTTCTGCTTGCCTAAATCCTGCCAGATAATATTTTTATAGTAAGCTGGGAGATCTTTCTCTTGTGGGAAAGGATTGAACTGGAATCGAGTCTTGATTGCTGAGAGGTAAAGGAGAGTATTGGGGTGAGAAGCCCAGTCTTCAGTGTTTAGAAATAGGAAGATTTTAAGGAATGGGTTTTGGAAACTTGAGGACTATGGCTGCTGCTCATGAATATATGCTTGGACCTGAACAAGAGAGGAGAAATGTGTAGGGAAGATGTTTGGTGCTAGTCTAGGCCAGGCACTAGAAGTGCCTGTCTAATCTCTGCAAAATAGAGATGGGGAGGTAGGGGCTAAGGATTCTGAGGCTTTTTAGAGAACTCAGGTTTTTAAGGATATAGCTTGGGGATTTGCTGATGTCACTTACCCTGTCCCAGTGAGGTGGGTGGCCATTTCTTTCCTAGTAGTGCCAGGCTATTCAGCTTGAGAGGGCTGTACTCGGGGGAGGACAGAGGAATTTGTCCCTCTGGCCTTGTATAAGATGGTTCTCCTCCCACCCCACAGCATTATCACTGTTTTTGGTCCCCTCCCCTCCCCTCTTTGCTGTTGTTATTCTTTTGGCCTCAACTTTGCTTGAAAGTCAGTGGAGTAGGGAGTCCCTGGTTGGGAGAACAGGAGGTAGCAGAATGTTGTTGCCTCTGTTTAGGAAATTTTGAGAGTCTCTCAAACTTCCCAGATATGATTAGGGTTTGGTTGATCAAATAGGAACAAGGGTCAGGAGATGCTGTAATTCTTCTGGAACAATCTTAGTTTCTATAACTCCTCTTCCCAGAAGTATCCTTTGAATGGTTTCCGTGGAGCTGACAGGTAGATAGGATGATTATTTCTGTCCTGTCCTTTTCAATCACACATGTAGGTAAATTGAGAAGGAGAAGAGGGATGCTTTGTGGTTGAAGATAGTAGGAGTCAGTTGGGTGTCCTCTCCTGAAAACTGCTTTCTGGAAGGGGTGTGGGATGTGGAATGAAGCACCATTTGTAGGATGGAAATTGAAGGGATTTTTTTTTTCCTGAGAAGTGTCCCAGGAGTAAGACTCCAGCCTCATGATTCTGGAGGCATATGGGTTTAGGGAAGATACTGAGGTCTTTGGGTTATTTTCTGGTCTTGAGAACTTTTGGAGGAGTCCTATTATTTCCTTTGTTCCAGCATCACTTGGAAAGATGCAGATAGATTATCTGCCTTTAATTTGTGGATAGGGGTGCTGTCCTGAGGCTGCTATAACCTCTCCTTCTGTTCAGAGGTATGGAAGGGTGAGCCATGGTTGAGCAAGTTTGGATCTACTGTCAAAGTGAGACCTTCATCTTGTTTGGAGCAATTTTCAAATTTTCATCTAGACTGACCACTCACTCAGTCCCCAAATCTTAGCATGAAGAGCTACAAACATCTGCTCCTTCCCATGTTTTTCCCCTTCCTTGACCTCCTTTCCACCCCCTCTCCCCATCCTACATATAGGATAGACTCGATTTGAGGGCCAGGAACAAACCCCATAGTATATACAGTGTTTTTCTAGTGGGCAGAGTGCTTACTGTATAGAAGAATAGGACAGATCCCTCTCCTTATTTCTTTCTCCCATTTGGAGTACCAGTGTATGTCTGTTTTAAGGTAGTGCAGGCCCTGAAACAGTCAAGCCTTCACTGAAGTGTGTGCCACCTTTATTTATCTTTCTCCACCCCCTGCCTCTCCCCACTGAGTATGTGGAAACCCCACTTAGCTGAAGGGGAAGGAAACTACTCAGTCCTCTGCGTTAGAACTCCTGTTGGGGCAATGTATTTCCAAGGACCACAACTCCCAGCATGCCTGGCGGGCTACTGGCCTGGTTACACATGCTCAGTAGTTCTGAGGGCCCTTTTCTGTTGCTTCTGGGGGCATCTAAGAAGGAAGGGCTGTTGTCGTTGCTAGGGGCAACAGCCTGGGGGCTCCAGGCTAGGTGAGACCCCTGGTGGTGCTGGTTCATTAGGATGAGAGGGGAGGTGGGGACAGGAATTAGGGCCAGCTTCTCTGGCAGGGGGCCAGTTGGGGGTGGGGTGGGGGAGAGAAACTCCCTTCAGAATGAAGCTCCAGTTTAAACCTGGGGATCTGTTGTGGGGCCAGTCCTTGACTGGGCTATGGCACTGATGAATCCCTCCTATCTCCTCTTCTTTGTCAGGGAAGACCCCAAACTCTGCCTTGGTGAAGCCCAGTTTGGGCTGTGTGTCCCCAGAAAAGAGTTGGATGGGTGCTTCCAATTGAGCTTTCCCTTCTGAGAAGCTGTGTGTGAGGGAGACAGTATGGGTCAGGGAGGGAGGAGGTTGGAGCCTGGCACTGCTGAGCTTTTGGATGGTGGCTGAAGTGAAACTTCTCTATGGGTTTAAGCTGATTCTGTGTTTGAGGGTGTTGAGCAGGGTACACAAAGTGTGCTGAAAGACGGGGGTGGGAGGGGAAGCACGTTTGGTGTTTGATGTACTTCTGATTGGAGTCCTTCTGACCCAAGTACCCTTTTGTGGGCAGGTCTCAAGGGATGAAGGGAATGGAGGCCTGTTTTAGCAAGAGGGATCAGAACTCCTGGGCATAGTTAAGTACTTGCGGTGTCTAGGTACACAGCTGTTCCTCCTTCTGTAATACTATGAAAGGAGTGTTAGTGTGTCAAAGGGTGGCATCTTGGGCTTTTATGTTTGTGCTGTCAGGTCTCCCCGGGAGGGCACTGCCCAGTCGGAGAGAGGAATGGACGACCCGAAGCCCTCTGGTGAGGATAAAGATTCAGAGCCGGCAGGTGAGCATAGGAAGTTTAAGGTAGGTGGGTGGTATCTTGAAAACTTATTCCTGGCACGGGGACAGAGAGTGTACCTGGTGATAGAGAGCAGCTACCTCACAGACCTAAGGCGCATTACACACACACACACACACCCTTTGGGGCAGTAGTAGACCTTGGGGTAGCATCATGTTACTTCTTATTTCTAGGCTCTGACCATCCTTCCTAGATTTTTCTCCTCTCAGTACAAAAGACTTTCTTGATGCAAGGATAGACTAGAGATTTTTTCCATGATTTTGTGGGGTCAGGGGAGCAGCCTGGTTTGGGCCCAATGTTATACAGTGCCTAATATCCATCCTCTGTCCTTCTAGCTGATGGGCCTGAAGCTTCTGAAGAGTCAGGCCCCACTGAGCCAGACCCCCCCAACCCACCTTTGGGGGATGCCTCTGTCCACAGCCCAGGGAGCCCCAAGCCCCAGGACCCTCCCCAGGACTGCAGGTAATTAGCCTACGGGAAATAAGGGATAGAGACTTAGAGAGAGTCAAGGGCTCTGATTTAGGGGTTTTTTTTTGGGTTAAGTTTGTAGTAGGGATTTGGGGTCCATGGCTTTCAGAAGAATTTGGGAAGGGGCTAGAAGATAGGTGTATTTTAAGAGGGGTAGGAGTGTTACCACCCAGGGTTGACAGGAGTGCCTAGGGTGGGTGTTAATGATTGTGTGTCTGCAGCAAGGGCCCACTTCGGCGCTGTGCCTTCTGTAACTGTGGGGAATGGAGTCTCCATGGGCAGCGGGAGCTGCGGTGCTTTGAACTTCCACCAGACTGGCCCCTGGGTCCAGCAGTGCCACCTGGGGGGCCTGGACCCGGAGAGGCAGTGCCACCCACTGATGATCTGTCCCAGATTGGCTTCCCTGAGGGCTTGACACCTGCCCATCTGGGAAAGCCTGGTGGTAAGAATGGGAGAAAGTGGGGGGGGGCGGTGATGGAAAAGGAAGAATTTGGGGAGGGAAAGGGGTCAGGAGGTAATCTGGAGAGATATGAATTCTTGCTGCTAATTGTTTTCCCTTTTCTCGTCTACTATCCTGTATAGGACCCTGCTGGGCTCACTATTGGTGTGCAGCGTGGTCAGTGGGAGTACAGGGCCAAGATGGGCTGGAGTTGCATGGAGTGGACAAGGCCATCTTCTCAGGGATCTCTCAGGTAGGGCAAAGGGGAAAAGACAGTAGAGGGTGGGAGTGATTCGGCTTCCTTGTTTCTAATCCGCACACTCAGGCAGAGCTGGCAAACTCGGTGAGGTCGGTGGGAAGTGGGTAAATGTGGGGCTGGGTACTAGCTCTGAGGGGAGTTACGGGTTTGGCCCATCCAACTCTGAGGCCAAGTCTCTGCCTTCGCAGCGCTGTTCCCATTGCTCCAGGCTGGGAGCTTCCATCCCCTGCCGATCGCCTGGATGCCCACAGCTCTACCACTTCCCCTGTGCTGCTGCCAGTGGTTCCTTCCAGTCTATGAAGACTTTGCAGCTGTTGTGTCTGGAGCATGGCGAGGAGGCTGCACACCTGGGTGAGCACCTGGGAAGGGAAAACATTTGAGACCCGGCTGCTTCTGGTTACTTGAATGCTATGACTTTTTTTTTTTTTGGTGAGGGTAATTGGGGTTAAGTGACTTTCCCAGGGTCACACAGCTAGTGAGTGTTATGTGTCTGAGGCTGGATTTGAACTCAGGTCCTTTTGACTCCAGGGCAGGTGCTCTATCCACTGCGCCACCTGGCTGCCCTGAATGCTATGAGTTTTTAACTTTTGACTTTGCCTCTTTATTTTTCCTCCCCACTAGAGGATGCCCGTTGTGTGGTGTGCGATGGGCTGGGTGAACTTCGAGATCTGCTCTTCTGTACCAGCTGTGGGCAACACTATCATGGGGCCTGTCTGGACACTGCTCTGACTGCACGAAAACGTGCTGGTTGGCAGTGCCCAGATTGCAAAGTGTGCCAAACCTGCAGGTGGGTATGGGTTTGGAAGAGGCTGGAAGATGGGGAGGAGGGCAGGTAAAGGTGGGAAGGGAACTGGGGAAGATCCTGTATTGTGCCTTCTACCCTGCAGGCAGCCTGGGGAGGATTCCATGATGCTAGTCTGTGAGGCATGTGATAAGGGCTACCATACCTTCTGCCTGAAGCCAGCCATTCAGAGCCTACCCCCTGATTCGTGGAAGTGCAAGGTGAGTGTTCCTGTGGCTCTTCTTGGCCTCTGACCCAGACAGGGTTTCCTTTGCTTGGGCATCCTCTCTCACCTCTCCCATCTGACTCGATGCCCAAGATGCTCTCCGTCTCCCTACAGACGTGCCGGGTGTGCCGAGCCTGTGGGGCGTGCCCAGCAGAGCTGGATCCCAACTGCCAGTGGTATGAGAATTACTCACTGTGTGAGCGGTGCCAGGGGCAGCAGAACACCCAGGGCGGGAGGATGGGCAGCCCTGATACCGAGCAGAACCCCCCTGTCTGTAACAAGTAAGTGGGAGAGAGGGCCTTTGGCGAGTGGGGGATGGGGAATGCTAACATTGCCAGGAGCCTCCCCAGAGGAATGGGAAGCATATTCACGGTGCCCTGGGGTAGCCAGTGGCACTCATAGCCATATAATGTGCTCACAGGATACCTTGATGCGCACATAGAGTTGGCAGCTGGGCAAGGGAAGGGGCCCTACGGAGGGTTATAGTGCCTGCTTCTCCGTTCCTTTTGCAGATATCCATCACCAGAGCCTGGCATTGCCCCTGTTGATACACCTGATGATCTTGATAATGCATGCCAGGAACAGCTGGAGGGGGAAGAGGAAACCTGCACAAAGTCTGAGGAACCAGGGCCACTGCAGCATGAAGCCAAACCACTAGGTGAGTGGGGTCCACCAAGTCAACAGTTTGATAAGTAAAGCTTTACTAGTGCTGTTGTCAGCTGTTAAAGGGTTAATAGTTGACAGCTGCACTAAGACTTTTGGGACAGCAGTTATATTGGGGTAGGCGTTGCCCCTATCTTATACTTCCTGTGGAGCCATGGCTAGGTAGGAATTTGGCCTCCTATGTCTGTAGGGCAAGCAGGGACCCAAGTTGAATCCCCACCCGAGGTCCCGCCCCCACCTGTGGTTGCCCCCCTTGATGAGGAGATGCCACTGGAGCCCCTGTTCCTACCCGAGGAACCACTCTTGTCACCTCAGCTACCACCAACAGGTAAGGAAATGGCGAAGCATCCTTTTTCCTGGATACAGTCTGTCCCCTAGAGACATGGTGGTAAGAGTGAAGTGAGTGTGGGATGGAGAGGCAGAAAACCTGACTTTAAATTCTGCCTCTTGATGGTCACTAACTCTGTGACCTTGGGCAAACCACTGGATTTCTCTTTACCTGAGTTTCATCATCTGTTAAAATGAGACCAATAATAGTTTTCTAGCTACTTTACAGGCTTGTTGTCAAGAAAATGGTTTACAAACCTCAAAGCACTGTATGAACTTTTATCATTCTTGTCCCTCGGAATCCTGTGTCTCTAAAATCTTGCTTTATTTTTTCCCTCTCCAGATCCTCCCCCTCCTCCACTTTCTCCTGCCACTGCTGTAGCCCCACCATCCTTGTCTCCCTTAGGGGATCAAGAGGAGCACCCTGATGCCAAAGGGGACAGTGAGCCAGGAACCCCTCCAGATGTCCCTATCCTAGACACGCCCATCAGCCCCCCTCCAGAAGCCAGTTGCTTTGAACCAGAGCCCATAGCTCCTATAGATTTGACCCCTTCTCCAGCCTCCCCTGAAGAACTGGGAGAACTGAATTCTCCCATTCCTCTAGAGCCCCCTCCTCCACAGTGCTCCCCTCTGCCATTAGCCCCTTCTCCCCTGGGCTTCCTGGAGAAGGCACCAGAAGTCCTAGATGAGTCTGAGTCACAGGAGATGGAAACAGAGCCAGAGTGCCCAGCTCTGGAGCCTAGTGGGATCAGCCCCCCAGCTTGTCCTACAGGAGACCTCTCCTGTCCTGCCCCCAGCCCTGCTCCAGCCCTGGATGTCTTTTCTAGCCTGGGTGAGGACACAGTCTGTCTCGATGAGACAGAGGCTACTGGTCCAGAGCCAGAGACTGGACAGACCTGTGGCAGTTCAGGTAGTGATCCTAAAGGCTCCCCTTTGCTCCTTGACCCTGAGGAGCTGGCCCCTGTGACCCCTATGGAGGTCTATGGTTCTGAAGGCAAGCAGGCTGGGCAGAGCTCACCTTGTGAAGAGCCTGAGGAGCCAGTTGCCCCACCAGTGCATACCCCTCCCACCCTCATCAAGTCCGACATCGTCAATGAGATCTCTAACCTGAGCCAAGGTGATGCCAGTGCCAGCTTCCCAGGGTCTGAGCCTCTGCTGGGCTCCCCAGACCCTGAGGGGGGTGGCTCACTCTCCATGGAGCTAGGTGTGTCCACTGATGTCAGCCCTGCACGGGATGAGGGCTCCCTTCGGCTCTGTACCGACTCACTGCCCGAGACGGATGACTCCTTACTCTGTGACTCTGGAGCAGCTGGAGCTGGCGGCAAGGCTGAGGGCGATAAGGGGAGACGACGAAGCTCCCCTGCCCGCTCCCGTATCAAGCAGGTGAGAGAAGTGGGATCAGAGCAGCTACCTTCCCTCCTGGAGCTTCCTGGCTACAACTTAGTGCTGTTCTTGGGTGGAATCAGCCTGTCAGGAGATGCCAAACCCGGGAAAAGTTAGAGGGAAGCTTGGCGCCACCCTTTCCTTCCCAATTTTGGAATTGATTCTACTCTTTCCCCTGGTCAGGCCACTAGCTGTCCCTGTTGTCCTCTCTCCTCACACTCATAGCAGTGCTCAAATGACCTTTCCCTGCCAAACCCTTGGGTCCAGGGCACGAGCCCCTGACCTCTCCTGAACCACCCATGTTGCCCATTCCTTCTCTTGCCCAGGGCCGTAGCAGTAGCTTCCCAGGAAGACGTCGACCTCGGGGGGGTGCCCATGGAGGAAGGGGGAGAGGACGTGCCCGGCTGAAGTCAACCACTTCTTCTGTGGAGACTCTGGTAGTAAGGAGCGGTCTCTTTCTGGCCGCCGCCCTGCTTGTACTCATCCCTAGATTCCACACCTTCCACACAGCCATTTCCTTTTCCCAGATTTAGAGGCAACAAGGCTACTTGGCTTCCGTCGTTCCTCCCTCCCTTTCCCTTAGGCCACTTGACTTTTAAGGGAGCCAAACCCACTGGCAAGATTCTCTGTTGTTCAAGGTGGGGAGATAGAGCCCTCTTGGTCTCAGCTTCTGGCCTGTCCCTTCTGCAGCGGCCCAGACTTCACTCCCCGTCGCCCCAGGGGGCAGAAAGATTGGTTGGGATTGGCTTAGTGTGGCTCACCCTCCTTTCCTCCCTTGGCCTCTCAGGTTGCAGACATTGATAGCTCTCCCAGCAAGGAGGAGGAGGAGGAAGATGACGACACCATGCAGAATACTGTGGTTCTCTTCTCCAACACCGACAAATTTGTCCTAATGCAGGTACTGTGCTTTGTCTTGTCCCATTGTCAGCAGTGGTACATTTTGGGGGTCAGGGGGAAGGGTATTAAGGAAGACCCAAGGTAGGCGGCTTGAGTCACAGCCTCAGTTGTTACATTTGAGCCTGAATGGTGACGAGGAAGTGACCATTTGGGAGTACGTTCCAGTTTCCCAGTGTGATCTTCTGTATGAGATCCCTGCTGTCTGATAGCAGGTTCTAAATATTCCAGTCACTTAAACAAATGGAGAAGGTGAGCTGTGGAGAAGGGAGTCCCATTGGGTAGTAAGAAGGAAAGGAGAATTAGGGATTAGCAGGGGTATAAATTGATGGTAGAAGAAAAGTAGAGGAGAGTCTGTGATGAAAAATGGTTTCTAGTAAATTAGAACAGATTCCCACAAACCCCCATAAATGATAACTGGGAAAAAGGCCCCAAAGGTAGGTAAGGTTAGTCTGATGCCCTCATTTTATAGTTGAGGAAACTGAATTTTGAATCCTTGCTCTGCTTCTGGGTGACCTTTGGCACTTTCTTTTTCTGGGCTTCATTTTCTTCTGAAATGAAGGGAACACCAGAGGAGGAGAGGATGTTACTGTTTTGGTGGGCCAGAAACCCCTTCTCAGAATCATGCTTTTAAATGTGTAAAGCCAGATCGTATAAGATTACAAAGGAAACCAGTTCTGTGGAAATACAGCCATCCCAGTGTTAAAAAAACTAAGTTCATGCATCCTAGGTTTAGAACCCCTGACCTAGATGATCTCTGAAGTTCCTTGGATCTCAGTAAGGTGCGGTGGTAAAACAATTTGCCGAAGGTCATGATATCCCAGTTATCGATACTCACACCACTACTTCTCAGTGTGGCATCTCGGGAGGAACACCTAGTTCTTCTGTAGGAGAATGATATGGAATGGGATGAAGAAAACTGGCGTGTGGCTAGAGGTTCCGCTCATCTGTCTGTGTGTCTTCTTCCAGGACATGTGTGTAGTGTGTGGTAGCTTTGGTCGAGGGGCAGAGGGCCACCTTCTGGCCTGCTCTCAGTGTTCACAGTGCTACCATCCTTACTGTGTCAACAGCAAGGTGAGTCCAGGCCCAGAGCAGAGAGGACAGAGGGGACAAAAATGGGGGATGGAGGCTCACCTAACTTGTTTCACCCAGGGGTAATGTTGGGTTGAGGCTTTTAAACCGCACTTCCTGCTAGTAAAATAGCTAAATTCTCTTCAGTGGAGAAGTTCACAGCTTCTACCCCAATCTTGTTGGCTTCACGGGGTAGGGACTTCTGAAAGATAGCGAGAAAGAGGGAAGTGAAGATGGGAAAGAGCAGGACTTGGGGAGGAGGTGTTAGGTGGTTTTAAATTTATAGGTTGTTTTGATTAAGTGACTTGGCCTAGGGTCACACAACTAGTGTCAGATGTCTAAAGCCAGATTTGAACTCAGGTCCTCCTGACTCCAGGGCCAGTGCTCTATTCACTCTGCCACCTAGCGGCCCCAAGTTTATAGGTTTTCAAGAAGCATGAGAATCTTTGATCTTAACTAAAGTTTTGCAAACAATCTTTCTAGCATTTCTTAAGTTCCTGCTTGTCTTAGATGAGGTTGTTGGTGGTAGGATGTTGTCTTAGAGGTCTTTAAATCAGCTGTACCCTTCCATGGAGATTCACCCTTGAGGTTTAAGCATCACCTGCTAACGATGATTCAGGAGGGCAGCTAGGTGGCACAGTGGATAGAGCACCGGTCCTGAATTCAGGAGGACCTGAGATCAAATCCGACCTCACACCAAACACTTGGCACTTACTAGCTGTGTGACCCTGGGCAAGTCACTTAACCCCAATTGCCTTAAAAAAAAAAAAGAATCTAAAGATGATCCACTAGTATGTGAAGAGACCTTCATTCATAGGCTGTGAATGCTGGTCTGGTGGGCTAGGGTTTGTGGTGGTGGGTCAGGTTTTGGTCTCCATGGGGTAGTGTTCTTCCATGTTCCTTCCTGAGAAGGTCATTTTCCGTCCTCTAGATTACAAAGGTGATGCTGCTGAAGGGCTGGAGGTGTGTGGAATGCATCGTATGTGAAGTGTGTGGCCAGGCATCTGACCCCTCTCGCCTTTTGCTCTGCGATGACTGTGATATCAGCTACCACACCTATTGTCTGGATCCCCCGCTGCTCACAGTGCCCAAGGGTGGCTGGAAGTGCAAATGGTAATTGAGAAGACCTGGGCTTTGGGAGAAGTTGGAGGGGGCGGGCGGAAATCCAGGGCCTGTTGGGGAGGGGATTGGCATGGCCAAGGGCGGTAGGCCCTTGGATGGTTATAGTGGGCTGTTGAGGGTTGGGATGACCGATTGAAGGCTGAGTTTGGTGTCCAGAGTTTGGCAGAGGGATGCCAAGATTGGACAGGCTGGTGCTGAGTGTCCATTTCCTCTGGCAGGTGCGTGAGTTGCATGCAGTGTGGGGCCGTTTCACCAGGCTTCCACTGCGAGTGGCAGAACAGCTATACCCACTGTGGCCCCTGTGCCAGCCTGGTGACCTGTCCGGCGTGTCGTGCTCCTTACGTAGAAGAAGATTTGTTAATCCAGTGCCGTCATTGTGACCGGTGAGAGGACCTCTTCCTGCCCTTCCTCCTCTTCTCCCTCAGTCCCGCCTCTCAGGCTTGCCTCATGCCTCTTCCCCTCTCTCCTCCCCCAATGCCAGGTGGATGCATGCTGGTTGTGAGAGCCTATTCACTGAGGAAGAGGTGGAACAAGCAGCAGATGAAGGCTTTGATTGCGTCTCCTGTCAGCCCTATGTGGTGAAGCCTGTGGGTGAGTTAGTAGCAGGAGCTGTGGGGAAAGAGGCTTGGAGAACTTGGAGAACAGGCCTCTCATTCTGCCTCTGCTCCTCCCCATCCAGTGCCCATTGCACCACCAGAGCTCGTGCCTGTGAAGGTGAAGGAGCCAGGTAAGTTGTGAATCCTAGGCTGTTAGATCTGGAAGGGACCTTAGAGATGATCTGGGCCAACTTCCTCATTTTACAGATGAGGAAACTGAGGCCCAGAGAGATGAAGATACTTGTCCCAGATTGCTCAGTTAGTTAGTGGTGGAGCTGGAACCGAAGGCCCAATGTCCTGATTGCTAGTTTAATGCTTTTTGCCATTTTACTATCCCTGTTGATAATCTCACCAGAGAACACGGTTTAGGTAGGCAGCTTAGAATAAGGGTGCTGTTGTTTGTCATCTGGGGCATTTAATCCTGGCATTCAGTAAATGGGGAGCTTCACTGGACGCTTCAAACCCCTGGGTCCTGGAGAACAAGGTAAATGCACCCAGCGTTAATTATAATGAAATCAAAAGTTTGCTCCAATGCCAGAGAAATTCTTTTTTGAATTTCCCCTTGATTTAATCATAAAGAACTAGGTCCCTGTTGGTGCTTGGGAAACGATGAAAGTATGCCTTTTTTCTAGAGAATGTCCCAGTCCTGGGGGCGTCTGTTTCTCCCTCTATCCATTCTTCCATCTGTTTGTGGCTTTGCCCCTGAACTGAGCTAGTGGCTGGTGGCTTGCCTGGGAGCTATGACTCTCCTAGCCCTTTACTCCAGAGTGACCTTCTCCCTCCCCTCCCTCACAGAGCCCCAGTACTTCCGCTTTGAGGGAGTATGGCTGACGGAGACCGGCATGGCTGTACTTCGAAATCTGTCCATGTCTCCCCTTCACAAGCGGCGTCAGAGGCGTGGGCGGCTTGGCCTCCTAGGTGAGGGCGGGCTAGAGGGGCCGGAGCCCTCGGACCCCGGCGGCCCCGACGACAAGAAAGATGGGGACCTGGACGCTGATGAGTTGCTCAAGGGCGAAGGTTTGGCTGAGGGTCAGAGTTTGGGCTAGAAATGGAGTGGTTGAATGTAGATCTGTCCCAGGATCCCTGCCTTGTCTAGATGTCTCTGGGGAGACTCCTGGGTTTAAGGGAGGTGAGCTTTGGGGGAATATTGTGCCCTTCCACCCACATACCTGACCTTTCCCCCTTACTCTTGCTGGCAGGGGTCGGTGTGGAGCACATGGAGTGTGAGATCAAGCTGGAGGCTCCTGCCAGCCCTGATGGGGAGCCTGGCAAGGAAGAGACTGATGAGGGCAAAAAACGCAAGCGCAAACCCTACAGACCTGGTAGGTGTCTGTAGGGAGGGAGTGGATGTGGAGGTGAGGGAAGAGGGGACTGAAGAAGTCCACCTAGCCCTCCTAGCCACTCCTTATTCTGGTCATACTGCTTTCTAGGCATTGGGGGCTTCATGGTTCGACAGCGCAAGTCTCATGCTCGTCTGAAGAAAGGGCCTGCCGTGTTGGTGGAAGTGTTGAGTGGGGAGGGCCAGCCTGATGAGGGTGAGTTGGTTTAGGACACTCGAGTGGGGTGGCGCTCAAGGGCAGGAGGTTTGTGGGGCAGAGAATGGGTGGTGAATTGGATGGGATGGAGGGGAAGGGGAAAGGTTTTAGCTGTGGCCTTTCTCTTCTAGTTGTGACAGTCGACCCACCTACGGAAGGTGCAGTGGAGCAGAGCCCAGCTGAAGGTGATGAGAAGAAGAAGCGTCGGGGTCGAAAAAAGAGCAAACTGGAGGACATGTTTCCTGCCTACCTGCAGGTGGGAACTAAAACAGGAAGGGTGAGACGGGAACACTGGACTGAAGGGTCTAGCAGAGAATGATAACTTTTTGTCCTTTGCCTCCTTCTCTCTCTTCCTACAATGTAGGAAGCCTTCTTTGGGAAAGCGCTCTTGGACCTTAGCCGAAAGGCATTGCTGGTGGCTGGGGATGGGCGACCGGGCTTTGTGCCAGGCACCCCCAGGGGCAAGGGGGACCCAGGCCCTGATAGAAAAGAGGCTTCTGCTTCACAGAAAGGTTGGTGGACCTGGAAAGGAGGGGGTTGGTTACTGCAGCAGTTGGGCAGATGTCGGAGGATAGAGTGCAGTGGACTTGGGCATTTAGCCATGGCATTGGGTGTCCAGCATAGGCATTAGTAGGGAGGAGGGTATTTCTGATGAGAATGGTGGCTGCTTCTCATAGGGGAGGATGGACCAGATGTTGCAGATGAAGAGTCCAGAGGTCCTGAGGGCAATTCAGAGACTCCAGGTAAGGGACATTGGGGTGAGCAACCATATTTTTTTTTCTTTAATATCACTGTCAATATCTGCTACCCTGCCCCCAGCCCTCACCACTTAGTAGAACAAATCAACACATGGGCCATGTTTTTTGTTTTTTTGTTTTTTTTAGTGAGGCAGTTGGGGTTAAGTGACTTGCTCAGAGTCACACAGCTAGAGAATGTCATGTGTGTGAGGCTGGATTTGAACTCAGGTCCTCCTGACTTCAGGGCCGGTGCTCTATCCATTGCCCCACCTAGCTGCCCTCATGGGCCATGTTTGATGGTATATGTCAATCTTCACAATTTCTGCTGCACCGTCAAGCCTCTGAAGTCACAACTAGTTGTTGCATTGATCAGAGTTCTGAAGCTTTCACTGTTTTCTTTTATGTTATTGTGGTCATCATGTAAATTAAATTACCCTCCTGATTATGTTTACTTCAACCTGTATCACTTCGTACAAGAAGTTTTCCTGGGTTTCTCTGAAATCTTCATGTTTGTCATTTCTTACAGCCAAAAAAAAAATACTCTGTGACATTCATATCCCACTATTTGTTTAGGCACTTTTCAGTCGGTGGATACCCACTTCCTTTCCACCACAAAAAGTGCTGCTATAAATATTTTTCATCTGTCTGGGACCTTTCTCTCTGTCTTTGACCTCCTTGGGCATATGCTTAGCTTAGTTTTGTTGAACAACAGAACTCAAGCACCCCCTTGTGGGAACGCTGTGATAGGCATCACTCGGGTAGAGGGTTCCGTGGAGGCATGAATGGCTTTGTACTTATCAGCCTCATTTACTCTTGAGAAGTCAGAGATAGGATAGGTGGGAGTCAGAGACTACAGAGTTGTCCCAAAGCTGTCAAACCCTAAGCCGGTAGTTTTTGCTCCCACAGGCCCTGAAGATGGAGGTATCAAGACATCTCCTGTACCCAGTGATCCAGAGAAACCAGGAACCCCAGGCGAGGGAATGCTCAGCTCTGACTTGGACAAGATTCCCACAGAAGGTTGGTGCTCCAGTAAAATCTTCCCACAAGGGTTTGTTTTGGGTTCCTAGCTGATATGTTTTAAAAGGAATGAGTATTCTCCATATACGTAAGGTATAGTGAGTAAGGGAAGGGTGAGAGAGAGCATTTGTCCTTATAGAGCATTCAGTTGGTGAAGATTCCTTCAAAGGAAAGGGGGCTAAGGCAGATTGGGATTGATAATCTGGGTTAAACAAATATCAGTTGTGGTTATTATCTATGGCCTTGCTTTTCTTGTTTGGTGATCATGCCAGGCTAGCAGGCTGGTGGTTCCATTTTCCCTGGTTCTCCTTCCCAGCCAGGCTTCAGTGGGTATTGTTACTCCTTGGTTCCATTCCTTAGCCATACTTACCAGTCCTCTTCCCTTTCCCACACAGAGCTGCCCAAGATGGAATCAAAAGACCTTCAACAGCTTTTCAAGGATGTCCTAGGCTCAGAGCGGGAGCAGCAGATTGGCTGTGGGACTCCTAACCTGGATGGGGGTCCCACCCCAGTGCAGCAGAGGCCCTTCCTACAAGGTGGTATAGTCAGGAACCAGTTGAGAATCAGGGGTGGGGCTACAGGTTGGGGGAGCCCATAGGTTGTGGGTGGAGAAGACCGGTATATTCTTCTTTGTACTGGCAATGCCTATGACCATTATCTACCTTCTGCAGGTGGGCTTCCTTTGGGCAACCTCCCTACCAGCAGTCCAATGGACTCCTACCCGGGCCTTTGCCAGTCTCCTTTCCTTGATAGTAGGTAGGTATCTATACCCTTCATTGTGGTTATCCCTATGGTCCCTTTTCTCTCCCTTCCTCCCCATCACTTGTGTAGACACACAGACTTGGTTTTTCAAGCTATGGCCTAGCCACTACCTTCCTTTCTATTGACTCCTGGGTCCCTGCCCTCTTTGTCTCCCTCCATGGATGATCACCAGTCATAGGGGTGGGAGAAGGGGTATGGGCTTTGAACCGTTGGCCTGCTGTGACCTTCTGCCCCTGCGCCCCAGGGAGCGTGGGGGCTTCTTCAGCCCAGAGCCTGGTGAGCCTGACAGCCCCTGGACGGGCTCAGGGGGCACCACACCCTCCACACCCACAACCCCAACCACGGAGGGTGAAGGCGATGGGCTCTCCTACAACCAGCGGAGCCTCCAGCGCTGGGAAAAGGATGAGGAGCTGGGCCAGCTTTCTACAATCTCACCTGTGCTCTACGCCAATATTAATTTTCCCAACCTCAAGCAGGATTATCCAGGTATGTGCCAATGTAGAAAGGGGAGCTGAAGTCTGGTATGGGGCAGTGTCACTTCTTTCCTGTACCCTTTGACTTCTGACCCTTTGGCCTGCAGACTGGGCCAGTCGCTGCAAACAGATCATGAAGCTGTGGAGAAAAGTCCCGGCCACTGACAAAGCCCCCTACCTGGTGAGGATGAGAAAAGGAAGGGAGGCCAGGGCCCCAGGGGAGGTGTACCTGGAGGGAGGGGATCCAGGGCCTCAGGGAAAAGAAGGGAGTTCACTAGGGGCAGCTAGGTGGCGCAGTGGATAGAGCACTGGCCCTGAAGTCAGGAGGACCTGAGTTCAAATGCGGCCTCAGACCAAACACTTGACACTAGTTGTGTGACCCTGGGCAAATCACTTAACCCCAATTGCCTAAAAAGGGAAAAGAAAAAAAATACAAAAGAAGGGAGTTCACTTGGAGCTGGTGGTCTCTCCGCCCCACCTCCACTCCATTCACCCAGGGAATAGGCTTCCAGGTCAGGGTGGGCTTGAGGATCAGAGCACATGACTAAGCTCTGGACCTGATTATCCCTCAGCAAAAGGCCAAAGATAACCGGGCGGCTCACCGCATCAACAAGGTGCAGAAGGTGAGTGAGTTGGAACTTGGGGAATTGGGGGAGAAGCCTGGGGCCTGATGGGAGCTTTAGAATTTGGAGTAGGGAGGGTGTTTTTTGTGGCAGCGCACATCCTTAACCGGACAGTGGCACCCCTGGACCCTTGTAGCCCATGACTCCCAGGTCCATTCCACCTCCTCCATCCCCCAATCTCACCCATCCTCTCTTCTTATACCCCTACAGCAGGCGGAGAGCCAGATCAGTAAGCAGACCAAGGTGGGCGACATAGCCCGCAAAACCGATCGGCCCACCCTGCACCTACGCATTCCCCCTCAGCCAGGGATGCTGGGCAGTCCCCCTCCAGCTTCTGCTCCGACTGTCTTCATTGGCAGTCCCCCTCCCCCAGCTGGCTTGTCTACCTCCTCGGACGGGTTCCTGAAGCCACCAACGGGCACAGTGCCCGGCCCTGACTCGCCTGGTGATCTCTTCCTCAAGCTCCCACCCCAGGTGCCCGCCCAAGTGCCTTTGCAGGACCCTTTTGGACTGGCCCCCACCTATACTCTGGAGTCTCGCTTCCCCGCAGCACCACCAGCCTATCCCCCCTATCCTGGACCGGCAGTGGCCCCTGCGAAGCCTCAGATGCTGAGTGCTCCCCCTCGGCCCGGGGCCGGCCAGGCCGGAGAGTTTCAGTCCACCCCACCTGGCACCCCACGGCACCAGCCTTCCACACCTGATCCTTTTCTCAAACCCCGCTGTCCTTCACTAGACAACTTGGCAGTTCCAGAGAGTCCGGGGGGTGGGTGGGGCCAAGGCTTCTGAGCAACTGATGTCCCCTCCACCTTTTGGAGAGCCTCGGAAGGCCCTAGAAGTAAAGAAAGAGGAGCTGGGGGCAGCTTCTCCCGGCTATGGCCCCCCCAGCCTTGGTTTTGGAGACTCACCTTCCTCTGGGCCCCACTTAGGCAGCCTGGAGCTAAAGGCACCAGATGTCTTCAAAGCCCCCCTGACCCCTCGGGCATCTCAGGTAGAGCCGCAGAGCCCGGGCATAGGCCTGAGGCCCCAGGAGCCTCCCTCTGCCCATGCTGTGGCCCCCTCACCCCCTAGCCATGCAGACCTGTATCGTTCAGCTCCTTCTGGCTCCTATCCTGAGACCTATTCACAGCCCCCACTGACACCCCGGCCTCAACCTCCACCCCCAGAGAGTTGCTGTACCCTGCCCCCTCGCTCCTTGCCCTCTGACCCTTTCACTCGAGTACCTGCCAGCCCCCAGTCTCAGTCTAGCTCTCAGTCACCCCTAACACCCCGCCCGCTGTCCACGGAAGCCTTCTGCCAGTCACCAGTCACCCCTTGCTTCCAGTCACCTGACCCCTACTCTCGTCCACCCTCACGGCCCCAGTCCCGGGACCCTTTTGCCCCACTACACAAGCCACCCCGGTCCCAGCCCCCTGAAGTTGCCTTCAAGGCTGGGCCTCTGGCCCATACTCCACTAGGGGTAGGGGGCTTTCCAGCAGCTCTACCCTCTGGGCAATCTAATGACCATCACACTAAGAGCTCTGGCGGGCAGCCTCCATCTTTTGCCCGTTCTCCTGGGGCAAACGTGTTTGTGGGCAATCCTTCCCCCATGCGCTTCACTTTCCCCCAGGCAGTGGGAGAGCCGTCCCTGAAGCCCCCCTGCCTCTCAACCCAGTCTCCCTCCACCCCATGGGATCAACAGCCATTATGGGCCAGGACCCACTGTGGGCAAGCCCCAAAGCACAAACTACACAGCAGCGGCAGGCAGTTTCCACCCAGGAGGCAGCCCCCTGGGGCCAGGCACTGGGCCACCAGCTGAGGGCTATGGGCTGTCTCCGTTGCGTCCACCATCGGTTTTACCACAGCCTGCACCGGATGGTCCTCTCACCTACCTGCCCCATGGTGCCCCACAGCGGGGGAGCATCACTTCCCCGGTTGACAAGCGAGAAGACTCAGTGTCTGGGATGGCCACCTCGCTGGTGGGTCCTGAGCTGCCAGGTCCCCAGGACCCCAGCATGGCCAATCTGAGCCAAACAGAATTGGAGAAGCAGCGGCAGGTGAGAGTCTCCAGTGCAGGGCTAGGTCCGCCCCTGTGTCTGTGTCTCGGCTTTTTGAGTCTTGCAGGTTCTTTCCAGCCCTGGCCAGATAGAGGTGACCAGACTTTTCCTTCTCTGCTTTATCCCTAACCAGCGCCAGCGTTTGAGAGAGCTATTGATCCGACAGCAGATTCAGCGTAATACCCTTCGGCAGGAGAAGGAAACAGCAGCAGCCACCAGTGCTGTAGGGCCAGGCAGCTGGGGTGCTGAGGCTAGCAACCCTGCTTTTGAGCAGCTGAATCGAGGCCCCACCTCCTACCCTGGGGCACAGGTAGGTGGATTGGCAGTGGGGTAGGAGACCATGCTTCAAAATTGAGGGGTAGGGGTGGCGTGGCAGGCTGAGCATTGGCCTTCTCACTCTCCTTATACACCTGTTTTCATTCTGGCCACCCAGGACAAAAGTGGCCTTACAGGATTGCCCCCTAACAAGCTAAGTGGCTCAGTTCTGGGACCTGGCCCCTTCCCTGCAGAGGAGAGACTCTCTCGGCCACCACCACCCCCTACTCCTTCTTCCATTGACATGAATGGCCGGTGAGTCACCAAGGGCGACTGTGAATACAGGCAGGGGGTAGGTTTTGAGTTCTAACTTCTGATCCCATCTGCTGGAAAGAGCACTGGATTTGAAATCAGGAGAGCCCTGGGTTTGAATCTTACCTTAGGCACATATTAGCTGTGTGATTCCTGAACCACAGCTTCCTGATTTAAAGTAGGGATAAAGATGCCTGTATTGCCTATCTTACAGAGCTGTGGAAATGATCAAATTAGGTCAACATGTATAGAACGCTTCATAAACCTTAATGTGCTCTGTGAGGTCAGTTTCGGATTACTGTGGATACCCAGGCCATCTTGCCTTGTTCCCCTGCTTTCTTTTCCTGTCTTCCTTTCCTCCTCCAACCCTCTGTTCTGGCTCTAACTCTCCTGGCTCTTTCCTGCCTTACCTTGTCTCTCTGATTCTGTTGTGTACAATTTCAGACAACTGGTTGGGGGCACCCAAGCCTTCTTCCCACGGGGGCCCTTCTCTGGACCTCTGCCCCCACAACAGCAGCAGCAGCTCTGGCAGCAGCAGCAGCAGCAGCAGCAGGCCGCTGTGGCTTCCATGCGGCTTTCCATGCCTGCAAGGTTCCCTCAACCACCTGGGCCTGAACTTGGCCGGACAATCCTAGGCCCTCCTCTGAGTGGGCTTTCCAACCGACCTCCTGGCCCAGTGGAGCCACTTCCTGGTCCAGGTCCTGCTCAGTTCATCGAGCTTCGTCACAATGTGCAGAAGGGGCCAGGGCCTGGTGGTGCACCTTACCATCTTCAGGGCCCCCCTCAGAGACCACGATTCTTCTCAGTGCCTGAGGACTCCCATCGCCTGGCTCCGGATAGTCTTCGGCCTGTGGCAGTGTCCACCCTGCCCCCGCAGAAGCCTTCAGCTCCTCCACCACCTGAGCTGAGTAACAGCCTCCACCCCCTCCCCCACACCAAGGGTCCTAGCCTTCCTGCCAGCCTGGAGCTGGTTGGCCGATCTCCCTCAAGCACCGAGGCAGGACGTCCACCCCTGGTCCTGGAATCTGGAAAACTGCCCTGTGAGGAGCCCGAGCTGGATGACGACTTTGATGCCCATAAGGCACTGGAAGATGACGAGGAGCTGGCCCACCTGGGGCTTGGGGTAGATGTGGCCAAGGGCGATGATGAACTAGGCACCCTGGGAAACTTGGAGACCAATGACCCCCATCTGGATGACTTGCTGAATGGGGATGAATTCGACCTCTTGGCCTACACAGACCCTGAGCTGGACACTGGTGACAAGAAGGACATATTTAATGAACACTTGCGACTGGTAGAATCCGCCAATGAGAAGGCTGAGCGTGAGGCGCTCCTGAGGGGCACAGAACCCAGCCTATCTGGCACTGAGGAGCGCCCACCCCCTACCACTGATGGACCTGATTCCCATCTTGCCCCCGGGGCCACTGAAGTAAAACCTAAATTAGAGGAAGGTGGACACCAGGCCTCTCCTTGTCAGTTCACCATGGCCACCCCCAAGGCAGACCCAGTGCCTCCCGGCACTCTGGGGCTGGGGCTGAAGCCTGGGCAGAACTTGCTGGGGCCACGAGACAGCAGGCTAAACATGGGTCCTTTCTCTAACAATGTGCATACCGCTGAGAAGAGTCCTTTTGGAAACACAGCAGGGACCCCACCCCAGCTGTTGACCTCGAGCCCACTGAGTGGCCCAGGGGGAGCATCCTTGCTGGAGAAGTTTGACTTGGAGAGTGGGGCCCTGACCCTGCCTGGTGGGCCTCCACCGTCTGGAGATGAGCTGGACAAGATGGACAGCTCCTTGGTGGCCAGTGAACTGCCTCTGCTCATTGAGGATCTCCTGGAGCATGAGAAAAAAGAACTCCAAAAGAAGCAACAGCTCTCTGCCCAGCTACAGCAGCCACCCCCACCCCCACCCCCACCACCCCCACCGCCACCGCCGCCCCCACCCCCGCCGCCGCCTCCACCACCACCACCACCACCACCACCACCACCACCGCCGCCGCAGCAGCAACAGCAGCAGCACCTCTTGCTGGCCACCTCAGGCACTGCCCAGTCCATGCCTCTGCCCCAAGAAGGTCCATCTCCTGGCCTGGCTGTTACCCCACAACAGCTTGCACTAGGGCTTGGGGCCCGGCAGCCTAGCCTAGTGTCCACTCAGGCAATGATGTCCACCCAGCAACCATCTCATGCCCTACAGCAGCGCCTGGTCCCTCCCATGGCCATGGTGCCCAACCAGGGGCATATGCTTAGTGGAGGGCAGGCAAGCTTGGTGCCTCAGCAGAATCCACAGCCAGTGCTGGCCCAGAAGCCTATGGGGGCAGTACCGCCATCGATGTGCATGAAGCCGCAGCAGCTGGCGATGCAGCAGCAGCTGGCCAACAGCTTCTTCCCTGACACAGGTACCTGTTCTTGTAGGAAAGGGGTGTGGGGGAAATGGGAGGGGTGGGCAGGGACCTGTAATCCTCATTGTTGTCATTTTAAGCTGACTGAATCATGACATTCTGGGTGCTTGTCTCTGTCTCTGAGAACTTTCAGCCCTGTAGTTGGGGAGCCAGGTTGGATACTTTAGGAGATTACTCACAGTACAAAGGAACATGCATGAAATACTCCATGTGTGGCTCAGTCAGTGTGACCAGTGTTCAGAAGGGAGGGAGGAAACATTGAGTAGGGAAGCAGTTGTGGGAGGCTTCACAAGTGTTGGGGCTTGAGCTGGGTGGGCAGATATTCAGGGAGTGATTAGTAGATCAGTTTAACCAGAATGGAAAGCTGGGCAGGGGAATAGCAGAAAAATGATAGTAGATTTGGGACCAGTTAGTGGAGAGTGCTGAATGCCATCTTAAATCATTTGACTTTTTTTTTTTTTGGCTAGGCAATGGGGTCCCATAGCCAAGGGTCACATAGCTAGTAAGTGTCAAGTGTCTGAGACTAGATTTGAACTCAGGTCCTCCTGACTCCAAGGCCAGAGCTCTAGCCACTGCACTATCTCACTGGCCCCTGAATTTTTTTATTTATAGGCAACAGGTAGCCCCCGAAGGCTTCTGTTGACATATCAAAGGCCTCTGACTTCTGTGCCTTATGGAGCAGGCAGACAGAATACTGGGCCTGGAGTGTGGATGGAGTCTACCAGAAGGTGTCCAGAGTGCAGTCATGGCATTTGGCACAAGTCGTTGCTGCTAGGCTGTTTTGAGGACAGGAAAGGCGAGGGACCAGACAGGCACTGGGTGGCAGGCATGAGATAGGGAAGGGACAGCTAATTCAGCATCTTCCCTTACCCTCTGGTACTTTCTTCAAAGACTTGGACAAGTTTGCTGCAGAGGACATCATTGACCCCATTGCTAAGGCTAAGATGGTGGCCCTGAAGGGCATCAAGAAGGTGATGGCACAGGGCAGCATTGGGGTGGCACCAGGCATGAACAGGTGAGGTATCTACTGGAAGAGGCCTATGTAACTTGTCCTGTCCTCTCCTGACTCCCTTTTCTCCGTCCTCCCCATCTGGCTTCTCTCTCACCTTTTGCTGTCTTTTCTCTGACTGGTTCTAGGCAACAGGTGTCCCTGTTGGCCCAGCGGCTCTCAGGAGCTCCTGGCAGCACTGACCTACAGAATCATGTGGCAGCTGGGAGTGGGCAGGTGAGTGAGCAGGTGGAGTTGTGGATAGGTGGCATTTGTATACAGAAGGGATGTGCGGAGGGAATGCGTCCTAGCACCCATAAGCATCTCTAGTATTAGAGTGTCCTCATGTAAGAGCTAGTAAGGTGGGTTTGATCAAAAGAACCTAGTGGGAAGGAGAGAGCAGTGACCCCTGGCGTCCTTTCCACTCACAGGAACGGAGCAGCAGTGACCCCTCCCAGCCTCGGCCCAACCCACCCACTTTTGCCCATGGTGTGATCAGTGAGTATGGTGGGACCCGAAGGAGATGGGGGGGTGGGGCAGTGAAGGGTCAGAATGGTGCCCCATTGGGACCTATGGCAAGCAGGCCCCTTGACTCCTGTTCTCCTGGCCCAGACGAAGCTGACCAGCGGCAGTATGAAGAGTGGCTGTTTCACACCCAGCAACTGCTCCAGATGCAGCTCAAGGTGCTGGAAGAGCAGATTGGGGTGCACCGGAAGTCCCGAAAGGCCCTGTGCGCCAAGCAGCGCACCGCTAAGAAGGCTGGCCGAGAGTTCCCAGAGGCCGATGCGGAGAAGCTCAAGTTGGTCACTGAGCAGCAGAGCAAGATCCAGAAGCAGCTGGACCAGGTAGAGGCCCTTGTCAGAGAAGGTTATGAAGGGGGTGTGTAGGGACAGTGAGGTGGCGCAGTGGATAGAGTACCAGCCTATCAGGGTCCTATTCAGGAGGACCTGAGTTCAAATGTGACCTCAGACACATAACACTTACTAGCTGTGTGATCCTGGGCAAGTCACTTGACCCCATTGCCTAGCAAAAACAAATTAAAAAAAGGGGGGGTGGCAAGTGGGCTGAGGTTGAGGCCTCCACCTACTCATGACATCTTCCCTCACTCCCTGTGATGACGCCTAGGTTCGGAAACAGCAGAAGGAGCACACAAACCTCATGGCAGAGTATCGGAACAAGCAGCAGCAGCAGCAGCAGCAGCAGCAGCAGCAGCAGCAACAGCAGCAGCAACAGCAGCAGCAGCATTCCTCGGTGCTGGCCTTGAGCCCCTCCCAGAGCCCCAGGCTGCTGGCCAAGCTTCCTGGGCAGCTGCTCCCAGGCCACGGGCTGCAGCCTCCACAGGGACCCCCGGGTGGGCAGGCGGGCAGCCTTCGCCTGCCTCCTGGAGGAGTTGCACTGACTGGCCAGCCCAGTGGCCCTTTCCTCAACACAGCCCTGGGTCAACAGCAGCAACAGCAGCAGCATCCAGTCGGGCCAGGGACCCTAGCAGGCCCCTCAGCAGGCTTCTTCCCTGGGAATCTTGCTCTCCGAGGCCTGGGTGCCGATGCACGGCTCTTACAGGAACGGCAGCTCCAGCTGCAACAGCAGCGAATGCAGCTGACTCAGAAGCTGCAGCAGCAGCAGCAGCAGCACCTGTTAGGACAGGTGGCTTTGCAGCAGCAGCAGCAGCAGCAGCAGCAGCAGCAGCAGCAGCAGGGCCTGGGACCCAAGCCGCAGGGACTCCTGCCTCCTGGCAGCCATCAGGGCCTCTTGGTCCAGCAGCTGTCCCCCCAGCCGCCCCCAGGGCCCCAGGGCATGCTGGGCCCTGCCCAGGTGGCAGTGTTGCAGCAACAACAGCAGCAGCAGGTGCACCCTGGAGGTCTGGGTCCCCAAGGCCCTCACAGACAAGTGCTCCTTGCCCAGCCCCGAATGCTAGGGTCCCCTCAACTGGCCCAGCAAGCACAAGGCCTCATGGCCCACCGACTTGTCATGGCCCAGCAGCAGCAACAGCAGCAGCAGCAGCAGCAGCAGCAGCAGCCCCTGGCTGGTCTCTCCCATCTCCAACAGGGATTGATGCCTCCTAGTGGGCAACCCAAGCTGGGCACCCAGTCCATGGGAACACAGCAGCAGCAGCAGCAGCTGGGGCTCCTAAACCAGGGTCGACCTTTATTGCCTCCCCAGCAGCAGCAGCAGCAATTGCTGCCACCCCCAGCCAACTCTCTTACCCAGCAACAGCAACAGCAGCAGCAGCAGCAGGTGGCCCTGGGTCCCGGCTTGCCTGCCAAACCCCTCCAGCACTTTCCCAGTCATGGAGCCTTGGGCCCAACCCTCTTGCTGAGCCAAGGGTTGCCCTCAGGCCTACCAAGCAAAGAGCAAGCTGGGGCAGAGACAGTGCTAGTACCTGAGGGCACAGAAGGCTCCTCAGTGCACCTAGGGGGACCATTGGCATTGGGTCCTCCTACAGAAACCCTGCCCCCAGAGCCAGTGGAGGTGAAGCCCCCCCTCCCTGGGGACTCTCACCTCCTCCTTTCCCAACCCCAGCCTCATCCTCAGCTCCAGCCCCAGCCCCAGTCCCAGCCCCAGCCCCAGCCCCAGCCCCAGTCCCAGCCCCAGCCCCAGCCCCAGCCCCAGCCCCAGCCCCAGCCCCAGCCCCAGCCCCAGCCTCAGCCCCAGCCCCAGCCCCAGCCCCAGCCCCAGCCCCAGCCCCAGCCCCAGCCCCAGCCCCAGCCCCAGCCCCAGCCCCCTCAGATGAACTCCCTGCAGTTACAGGCATCTCTGAGACTTTCAGGGCAGCAGCAGCAGCAGCAACAACAGCAAATCAGCTTACTCCATCCCCCAGGTGGTGCAAGTCATGGGCAGATGGCTGGTGGGCAGCCCCCTGAAGTTACTTCCATGTCCCACCTGCTGACCCAACCCCTAGGTTCTGTAGGGGAGCGGGCCTCTGGGCTGGATCGACCCCTGAAAGGGAGCCCAAGGCTGCAGCCTCCCAAGCCAGGCCCTCTGCCCCACCCTGGGCAGGGCCTACCAGGGCATGCAGGAATGCCTACTGTGGGGCAGCTGCGGGCCCAGCTTCAGGGTGTCTTGGCCAAGAACCCACAGCTTCGGCACCTGAGCCCTCAGCAGCAACAGCAGCTGCAGGCCCTTCTTATGCAGAGGCAATTGCAGCAAGGCCAGGTGCTAAGGCAAACAGTGCCCTACCTGGAGCCTGGGAGCCATCCTTCTTCCTTGCAAGGCCTCCTGGGCCGCCAGCCCCAACCTGGGGGCTTCCTCGGAGCTCCATCAGGGCCTGTGCAGGAGCTAGGGGCGGTGCCCCGACCCCAGGGCCCTTCCCGGCTCTCTACCCCACAAGGAGCCATAGCATCAGGGCCAACCCTTGGCCTTGCACAGCCCCCTCCTCTGCCATCCAGCCCCCAAGAGCCAAAGAGACCTTCCCCACGATTGCTGCCCCCTAGCCCTCAGCTTCCTGCTGAGGCTCAGCTCACCCCTACCCAGACTGAGATCCCAAAGCCCCAAGAATCCTCCTTGGAGCTACCTTCAGGGGACATTCCACCCCCCTCACCAGCAGCCTCCCAGCTTCCAGATGCTTTCTTTGCCAAGGGACCAGGACCTTGGGAAACCCCAGACAACCTGGCTGAGGCGCATAAGCCTGAGCAGAACAACATGAGGCCTGGAGAGGTGGAGCAGGTGAACGGGCAGGAGATGCCCGAGCCGTCCCGACTCATGATCAAGCAGGAGCCTCGAGAGGAGCCTTGCGCCCTGGGTGCCCAGGTGGTGAAACGGGAGGCTAATGGGGAGCCTGTAAGCACACCAGGCACCAGCAACCACCTCTTACTGGCAGGCAGCCGCTCAGAGGCTGGGCACCTGCTCTTGCAGAAGCTACTTCGAGCAAAGAATGTACAGCTTGGCACAGGCCATGGACCTGAGGGGCTCCGAGCAGAGATCAATGGGCACATTGACAGCAAGCTGGCTGGGCTGGAGCAGAAACTTCAGGGCACTCCAGTCAGCAAGGAGGTGAGTACCTTGGCTAGAGAGTGGCCTCTGCTTGGCCTGGAGGCCACCACGTGTCTGCTAAGTGGCATGTCTAACCTCTGCCTTCTCTGCCTCTATACGTACATTTAAACCTTTTTTTACTATATGCCTATGACATGAGATGTCCCAGGGGGTTGGAGGGGAGGTGGGTGGGTACCCCTTACAGTGGATGTGTCTGTCACAGGATGCTGCAGCCAAGAAACCACTGACCCCCAAGCCCAAGAGGGTACAGAAGGCAGGCGACAGGGTAGCAAGCTCCCGGAAGAAGCTCCGGAAGGAAGATGGGGTGAAAGCCAGTGAGGCCCTGCTGAAACAGCTAAAGCAGGTGACCCCCAGGAATCCCAGCTGCACAGTCCCCAGGGCAGGTGGGAGGAGGCTGAGGGGGGGGATGTCCCTTGGGAGTTCCTTTTCTAGCTGTAGGGGCTTAAGTACTCATGTTCTCATGGCTTTTATTCTGTCTCCCGACCCAGGAGCTGTCCTTGCTGCCACTTACAGAACCCAGCATCACCAACAATTTCAGCCTTTTTGCTCCCTTCGGCAGTGGCTGCCTCATCAATGGGCGGAGCCAGCTGAGGGGGGCCTTTGGGAGTGGGGCACTACCCACTGGCCCTGACTACTATTCCCAGCTTCTTACGAAGGTCTGGAAGAGGCGGCACCATGCTGAGATGGGAGGGCTCAAGGGAATTCTTAGCCTGGCACAGGGTAGGGCCGTCGAGATGACTTGTTCACTGTCAGACTTGCTGTTCCTTTTTGCCCCCCTAGAATAACCTGAGTAATCCGCCAACACCGCCTTCCTCACTGCCGCCTACCCCGCCCCCGTCAGTACAGCAGAAACTGGTGAATGGGGTCACTCCTTCTGAGGACCTGGGGGAGCAACCTAAAGATGCAGCGCCTGCCCGAGAGCCTGATGGGGGACCCAGGGGTAAGCAGGGGATGGGGAGGTGAGGCAGAGAGAGAGGCCCCTAACTGCCTCCTTCCTGCTCCCTCCCACTGGTTTTAGTTTTTTAAAGGACCAGCTTGGTGGTCTGACTGCATAAAGGCCACCAGCACCCAAGACTGTAGTAGACTTTCCCTTAAGGAAAAAATAGATCTCTCTCATCTCTTTCTCATCCTCTATGCAGAGAGTCATTCCTTGTAACAGAAGCATAATGAGTTTTTTCTGTTCCCTTACCACCTGTGAAAACCCAGACTTTGGAAGCATGTGGAGGTGGGGACAGAGTTAAGTGAGCTTCATGTGCTCAGGCCCCAGGCAGACCCTGTGGCACGGGGAAACTGTCAGAGCAGCAGAACCTAAGAAATGAGAGGCCTGAGATGTTGGGGAGGAGTGGCCCCTCTGTTCCATATCCCTTCTCTCCCTCTGCTCCTAGATGCTCCTGAAGTGAAGAGTTTGGACCTGCTGGCTGCGCTTCCCACTCCTCCTCACAACCAGACTGAGGATGTCAGGTTGGCAATGAAATGAGGAGCGGGGTGGGGTGGGGCACTTGGCTACCCTGTCACGGGGACTTCGTGTGGGGCTGTGATATCCCCAGGCTTAAAGAGACTGGGGAAGGCTGACCACAACGTGGTGCAAACATGCCTGGTGTCCCTGATCTCTAGGATGGAGAGTGATGAGGAGAGCGACTCTCCTGACAGCATTGTGCCAGCTTCTTCACCTGAGAGTATTCTGGGAGAGGAGGCACCTCGATTTCCCCAGCTGATGTCAGGCCAGCAGGAGCAGGAGGACAGGGCCCTCTCCCCAGTCATCCCCATCATCCCCCGGGCCAGCATCCCAGGTGTGTGTATGTGCTTGAGGAAAAGCAGACATTGTAGCAGAGCAGAAAAAGGACTAGCTTTTGGTGTCAGGAAAGACCTAGGTTCGAATCTTACCTTCTCTACTTGATGTCCCTAAGCCCCTGTTTTTGTCTGCAAAATTGGAATAATAATACTTGGAGTTATTGTGGGGATCAAATGAAAGAATATATTTTAAACCGCTAGGTAAATATTAGCTGCTGCTTTGTTTTTATTGTTAGGTTTTTGTTCTTGTTGTGGGGGAGGGTTAGAGACCAGCTGGGCCTTCATGGTCTTCCCTGTCCTATTTAGTCTTCCCAGATACCAAGCCCTTTGGGGCTCTGGAACTAGAACCAACAGGAAAGCTGTCTGCCAACACCTGGGAAAAGGGCAAAGGGAGTGAGGTGTCCGTCATGCTGACTGTTTCTGCTACTGCTGCCAAGGTATACCAAAGCGGTGGGGGGCATTGGGAAGCAGGGGGCAAAGGGAAGGAGCCTCTGCTGGAATGGCAGTACCACACCCAGGGACCTCAGATGACACATCTCTCCCTCTTCCCTCCATCCTTCCTCCCCCCATATGTCAGAATCTGAATGGTGTCATGGTGGCTGTGGCAGAGCTGTTGAGCATGAAGATCCCCAGCTCCTATGAGGTGCTGTTCCCAGAGAGTCCTGCCCGTGCAGGGGGTGCCGAGCCCAAGAAGGGGGAAGTGGAGGGGCCTGGTGAGTGTGGCAGAGATCGGGCAGGAGGCGAGGGGAGAAGGGGTGCCAAGCCACTCTGGATTCAGAGGGTAATGGGTTCTTCCTCACTTTTTCCTACAGGTGGTAAAGAGAAAAGCCTAGGGGGAAAGCCCACTGAGGGTAGCAGTGACTGGCTGAAACAGTTTGATGCAGTGCTGCCTGGCTACACCCTCAAGAGCCAGCTGGACATCCTGAGCCTCCTCAAGCAGGTGGGGCCATGGGATGGGAGGGGTCAGAGCTGGGGGGATGGAAGTGGGTAGGGGCAGTGCTAACAGGGCAGAGGGCCTCAGAGGGGCAGGTTCAGGGGGTTTGGGGAGGAACAATGGTGGATACCAGGCTAGTGTCCTGGGCACAGTCAGGAGGCTTGAATGGGCTTCCTTGTTCTGATGATACGGGATTGTCTCTGTAGGAAAGCCCTGTCCCAGAGCTGCCTGCCCAGCACTGCTATATCCACAACGTCTCCAACCTGGATGTCCGTCAGCTCTCTGCCCCACCTCCTGAGGAGCCTTCCCCTCCTCCTTCACCCTCAGCCCCTTCCCCTGCCAGCCCCCCAGCTGAACCCTCAGCCCCATCACCCCCACCACTAGTTCCCTCACCTCCGATGCCTGAAGCAGCTCGCCCCAAGCCCAGAGCCCGGCCCCCTGAAGAGGGGGAGGATTCCCGGCCACCCCGGCTTAAGAAGTGGAAAGGGCTTCGCTGGAAACGGTTACGGCTGCTGCTGACGATCCAGAAGGGTGGTGGACGACGGGAGGGTGAGCGGGAGGTGGCAGAGTTCATGGAGCAGTTGGGCACAGCCCTCCGACCTGACAAGGTGCCCCGTGACCTTCGGCGCTGCTGCTTCTGCCACGAAGAGGGTGATGGAGCTACTGATGGGCCAGCCCGACTTCTCAACCTGGACCTAGACCTCTGGGTCCACCTGAACTGCGCCCTGTGGTCCACAGAAGTTTACGAAACTCAGGGTGGGGCACTGATGAATGTCGAGGGTGCCCTCCACCGAGGGCTGCTGACCAAGTGTTCACTGTGCCAGCGTACAGGAGCCACTAACAGCTGCAACCGGTTGCGATGTCCTAGTGTCTACCACTTTGCCTGTGCCATCCGGGCCAAGTGCATGTTCTTCAAGGATAAAACGATGCTGTGCCCCCTGCACAAGCTAAAGGGGCCCTGTGAGCAGGAGCTGAGTTCTTTTGCCGTCTTTCGACGTGTCTACATTGAGCGGGATGAGGTGAAGCAGATCGCTAGCATCATCCAGCGCGGTGAGCGGCTGCACATGTTCCGGGTGGGAGGGCTAGTGTTCCATGCCATCGGGCAGCTCCTGCCCCACCAGATGGCCGACTTTCATAGCGCCACAGCCCTGTACCCGGTGGGCTATGAGGCCACGCGCATCTACTGGAGCTTACGCACCAACAACCGGCGCTGCTGTTACCGCTGCTCCATTGTCGAGAACAATGGGCGGCCCGAGTTCATCGTCAAGGTCATGGAACAGGGTTTGGAGGACCTGGTCTTCACTGATGCATCCCCCCAAGGTGAGGCTCTCCGGAGTCAGGTACCGGGGACTGGGGGGGGTGGGTCATCTTCTCCATACTCCCATGTGGTTGGAAGCACTCCTTCCCAGCTCTAGTACACACAAAGGCCTTTGGTTTTTAGTCTCTGTCTTCTGTGGCCTAGCAGCTATTAGACTGGGCAAGTTTTTTGTTGTTCAACTTTAATCTTTCCTGCTGTTCTTTTTTTTTTCCCCCTTTCCTCGTCCCCATGGATTGAGTCTGAACTTCCCCTACCCTGAACTTAACCCATCAGTATTTTCCCTTGCTTAGAACCAGCATTAAATGAAGCCCTGGCCAGTGTTGACTATGTTTAGGGGTGGGGGTAGAGATAAATTCTTTTATATTCCTACTTTATATTCCTCACTATCTTTAGAGCGGAGGTTCTGGCCCATAGGGGGCCATTCCTGATTTATTTATTTATTTGTTTGTTTGTTTATTTATTTATATATTCTTTTTTGGTGAGGCGATGGGGGTTAAGTGACTTGCCCAAGGTCACATAGCTAGTAAGTGTTAAGTGTCTGAGGCTGGATTTGAACTCAGGTCCTCCTGACTCCAAGGCCAGAGCTCTGTTCACTGCGCCACCTAGCTGCCCCTGGCCGTTCCTGTTTTAGAGGGAAGAAGTCAAAGCCTAGGCCACTGGTGGGGTAACCTGCTGCCTCGAGGCCATATTGTGGCCCTCTAGGTCCTCAAGTGCAGCCCTTTGACTGAATCCAAACTTCACAGAACAAATCCCCTTAATAAATAATTATAAGTATAAATATAAAATAACAAATAATAAATCCTTAACAAAAGGATTTGTTCTGTAAAGGCCACAGGTTCCCCACCCCTGCCATAGGTCATGGGAGCCATAGATAACACAATAGCTCTTGTATCTGGGGGAAGTCTAGATTTGGGGGGAAATGGGCCTTTTGATAGTTACTCTATTTCCCTCTCAGCTGTGTGGAACCGTATTATTGAACCAGTGGCTGCCATGCGAAAGGAAGCAGACATGCTTCGATTATTTCCAGAGTATCTTAAGGGCGAGGAGCTCTTTGGGTTGACAGTGCACGCTGTCCTACGAATTGCAGAGTCGGTAAGGAGGAATGAGGGGAGGATTCTGGGGTGGGCTGGTTGGGGTAGTGCTGCTCCCAAGGGCCTGGGCTATGGTAGATTGCTCACTGTGTCCACAGCTGCCTGGGGTGGAAAGCTGTCACAACTATTTGTTTCGATATGGACGGCACCCACTGATGGAACTGCCACTTATGATCAACCCTACTGGCTGTGCCCGCTCTGAGCCCAAAATTCTCACTCACTACAAACGGTGAGCCTCTTTGTTGAGGGAGTCTGAGGTAGAGCCAGGTTTGGGAGGAGTCTGAAGCCAAGGAAATGGGTAGGAAACAGGGTGGAGGATTGGAGACGTTGGGATGACAGTGGGGAGGAAATGGGGTAAAAATTGAGACATCTTTTCCCTTGGAAAGGTTGGGGAATCACTCAGGCATATTGAATAGAGGAGTCTGAAGCCAGGGGCCCCCTTAAAGGTGCTTGTCTTTCCTGCCTAACCAGCTAAGAGTATGGGGTGGGGGTAGAGGGTGGCAAAGTGTTGCTGGGGTGGTATGCAGTAGGCAGGTATTTAATGGTGTGATGGATGAGGGAGCCAACAGTTTTTTCCCTTTCCCCTTTCTAAGAGGCTCTGACTCCCTCCACCTTGAGCCTAAAAGGGAGCCTTCGGAAGCGCCCTGGAGTGCTAGTGTTCACCTCCCCTAGGCTGAGGTGGCTCCAGGAATAATAATTGGAAGCGTATTAAAACCTCACATTTGTATAGCATTTTATACTTTTTTTTCCAAAGCGCTTTCACATCCATTATCTCATTTGATGCTCACAATAACCTTATGAGGTATGAAGGGCAGAGGTGGTATTACCCCCTTTTTTCAGATGAGGAAACTGAGGTCCAGAGAAGTTAATTGACATGCCCAAGGTCACACAGCAAGTCAAAGATGGACCCAGAGCTAGAATCCTGGTCTCTTGACTTGTTCAGTGCTTTTCCCACTATGCCGTTAGTGAACCCTAGCCCACCAGCTGGGGTACAGGAAGACAGAAACAATTTTAAAGGAGTTCTGTCACTGTATGTGACCAAGCCCCAAGCAAGGAGGTCTGGACTTGAACTGTGGGGGTGCAGAGATGAAGGGCAGGAATGCAGCTTAGGTGGTTGCTGAGGGGAAAGACGGAGTGGGAGTAGGAAGTGGGGGGGGAGGTAGGGCACCAGGGATGGGGTCAGTGGGAGAGTCAAACAGGTTACTTAATCATTTTCCTGCATTGAGTATTCAGTGCGGAGACAAGAGGAGATAGATACTGTCCCTATCTTGGGGAGAATTTGTAGTCTTTATGTTTGTAGGGTGGGAGGAAAGGCAGGCAGAAGTGTAAACAAGTTTAGTTCTCAAGAGTTATTCTGATGTGGTAAGGGGACAGCATTCTAGAGATCCAAGGGACAGTCCAGTAACTGCAATGATAAGACACAGACTGTCCCCAGGGGTGGTTGAGGTAAGAGCACATATGTTGGGCTAGTCGTGAGAGAGTGAACGTATCCATACATCAGGGAATGGGAGGAGTTTAGCTTATTTGACTCCTAGACCCATCTTAGGTTTTCTGTACCCATGGGAATACAGGGGCATATGGATCTTAACTGCTGCCCCACCAAGATGGAGACTCTTATAGGAAATTAGGGCTGTCTCCATTGGCCAAGACTGTATTTCCCATATGCCCATAGCACATGTCCTGAGGCCTGGCTAACATTTGCCCCATGCCAGGGCCGGGGTTGAGTACAGATCATTGTGTGCCCACTCGTTCTAGAAGAGATCTTAACTTGCCATTTTTTCTGCTGCCCCCAGGCCTCACACCCTCAATAGCACCAGCATGTCCAAGGCATACCAGAGCACCTTCACAGGCGAGACCAACACCCCGTACAGCAAACAGTTTGTGCACTCCAAGTCATCCCAGTACCGACGGCTTCGAACTGAGTGGAAGAACAATGTGTACCTGGCTCGATCTCGTATTCAGGGCCTGGGGCTGTATGCTGCCAAGGACTTGGAGAAGCACACAATGGTCATTGAGTATATTGGCACCATCATCCGAAATGAGGTGGCCAACCGTCGTGAGAAGATCTATGAGGAGCAGGTTAGGGCAAGGGAGAGGAGCTGTGTGTAGGGGACTTAGGCTGATGGCAAACTTGAGTCTTCAAGGGAAAATGAGAGACATTTGGGGAAACCTGGGGAGCTCTATTTGAATCTCTTTCTCCTGTTCCCTTCCTTTTCACAGAATCGAGGTATCTATATGTTTCGTATAAACAATGAGCATGTGATTGATGCCACACTTACTGGAGGGCCTGCCAGGTAAGATGGAGAGGAAGGGAGGGGCGTGTCAGGGTAGAACTGGCCCCCTGACACTGACTTCTCCCTGGTCTTTTCCGGTTCAGGTACATTAACCATTCTTGTGCCCCCAACTGTGTGGCAGAGGTTGTGACCTTTGATAAGGAGGATAAGATCATTATCATCTCCAGCCGGCGCATCCCCAAAGGAGAAGAGGTGAGTGATGTGATTGGCAGTGTGCTTTCCTTTGAATTGTGTGTTGTTTTTTTTTTTCCCCTAAAGCCTGGCTGGACCTGATCCTTTCTCCCTTCCCTCCCCAGCTGACCTATGACTATCAGTTTGACTTTGAGGATGATCAGCACAAAATCCCCTGCCACTGTGGAGCCTGGAACTGCCGGAAGTGGATGAACTAAGCTCAGAGGCAACTGGGCAGGGGAAACCCTCCAAAGCCCTTCCCAAAAGGGTTGAAGGGGAAGAGAGCCAGGACCCAGAGTTGGGGCTGCTGGCTGACCAGAGCCCCAGGAGCAGGATGGGGCTAAGGGCCCCGGGGCAGTGCCCATTCTGGGCACCAGGGATGACTTCCCTCCCCCACCACCACAGGCCCCAGGCTGGCATATCTGCCCCCAGCTCCAGGAGCCGACAGACAGAAACAGCCATTGGGCATCTCAGGTTCGGGGGGTGGGGGGGTTGGGTAGATATGGGCTGGGAACTACCCAGCACCGTCTGGGAGGCAGCAGAGACGGTGAGGAGGGTGGCAGCTTGGGTCTCCCAGCCCCAGTGCTCCCACTGACGTCCCCAGCCCAACTCAAGGCTGCAAAGAGACTTGATTAAGCTTGACAATCCCAAAGGCTGGGTCCCCACACCTGGCCCTGCCCGCTGGGTCCTGTCCCCACTTCCTAATCCCCCTCCTTCCCTTTCTCTCTGTCTCCCTCTTCTCCTCTGTGTCTCTGTCCCTCTTTCCATCTCTCTCTTTCTGGGTTGTGTTTCCTTGTTTTCTCTCTGACAAATGCAACACGAACGGGAAAGAGGCACCCAGCTGCCCGGGTGGGGCGGGCAAGGCAGGCAAGCCGGGCAAGGAGATCCTGCACCCACACCTACCTCATTTAAGTGTTGGATTTTTTGCTGTTTTGAAATGTGAGACCCTCTCCCCAGCCCTCTAATCCTTCAACCCCCTGTCTGAATTGGGGGTAGAGAAGGGAGGGGAGGGAAAAAAGGAAAATCTTTAGAAAAAAAAAAATCTGTTTTTAACTGTGGGCATGGGGTAGTGACTAGGGCTGATGGGAAGCGATTGAGAGAGGGTGACCCCTTGATCCCCTCAGAGGCTGAGCATCTCTCCTCCTCTGAACAAGTTGGGAGGGGGAGGTGTTGGGGTTGTGTTTCAGAACCAGGGTGTCCTCCTCTTGTACTCCCAACCCCATCATGAGCCCAGTGCCTCCCTCAGCCTCTCCCTGGAATCAGAGGGGAAAGAGGTTCTCTTGAGTTGTGTACCCATTCCCCGTGGGGCAGGTTGGGGCCCAGAGCTCCCTACTTCCCCAGCCACCAAACTGCTGCTGGTCTGGTGGGAAAGGGAGGTGTTGGGGGTAGGGGAGCTTAGTGTCATCGTGGGGAGGGTGGGGGGGTATTTATCTATTTATAAGCCGGATTGTATATAGTCATGTGGGGCATGGGGGGGCCAGCAGGAGGTGAGAACCCTCCCCTCTCCCCCCCACCCCCTGGGGAGAGCAAATGTAAAACTACTAATTTTTGTGCTTTATATATTCTATATAAATATATCTATTTTCTTTTTACAAAACCAGTTTATAAATGGCAGGGGGCGAGGGGAGGGACACCTGGAGCTCCCCTTGTGGGGGGGCTGCCCTCCATTATCCTGGACCTGCTGCCCTGCTCCTAACCCCCCCCCCACTCCCCTGGCTGTGACTGCTGTAAAGGTGAGGGGAGGGGACAGGGGCTGGGCTCAGTTTCCCCACTCCCAGATGTACAGTTGGACTTTTATAACGCACAAAAGTGAGCTGGCCCCTAGGGGAGCCAGAGGGTGACGGGTCCCCTCCCTCCTTTTTCTCCTATCTCCCTCCCTAACTTGTGCTGCAGTTGATTGAACTTCTTCCTGGAGTGGGGGTAGGGGTGGGGGTGGGGGTGGGGCTGAAGTAACCCCTAGGGCCCCTGTCTGGTAGGGAGCCATAGGTTTGAAGATGAAGTTTTTATTCAGTTCTCTCTTCTAGGGGCTGTGGGCAAAAGGGCATTTTGTAATTATTTTAAAGAATCAAAAATTTGGAGCATGAGGATGAAGGTGATGCCAGTGGAGAGGGCTGGAGCAGGGAGCCTAGTCGCTGTTGTGTTTTTAGGGTTTTTTTTAAAAAAAGTTTTTGTTTTGTGTTTTAATTTGAGACAGAATGGGGTGGCAGGGGTGGGGAGGAGGCTGAAGTTTTTTTTTTAAGGGAAAAAGAAAAAGCTGCTTCCTCTACTGTTTTAAGATGCAAAGGTTTAAAAGAACTCCTCCCCACCCACCACCCCTCACCCCACAAGTAGCAAAGAGAAGCTGCTGTAAATAAACCAAGCAGCAAAAGACTGGGCTTCTCTACCACCATCACCCCCACCCTACCCTCACAACCCCCAACCACTGGACCTCTTCCTTCCTTTCCATGAGCAAAAGGCCTAGGCTGCTGGGAGTGGAGAGCACTGGGGCCGTACCCATTGGGAACTGGCCCCAGAAGGTCTGGCTCCAGACTGGGCTGGAGCCCAGGTTAGGGTTTGGGATTGGGGAGGGAAAGGGGTCTGGGGGGCAGACTTTGTAAGCATATGCTAGGTATCTGATAGTCCTGTAGATCTTAGTGAAGAAACCTTATACAGTTTTTAATTTTTATATAAACTATAACTCAGACCCAAGCTGCAAGGTTGGAATTTTGGTTTTTTGTTTTGTTTTGTTTTTAAGTTCCCCGCTTGTATAATTGCATCGGAAGCACCCTCCCTCCCCCATCCCGTGTTTGTATTTTGGGTTGGTTTACACTTGCACATATTCGGTTTTCAGTTTCCCCATTTAAAGTCTCCCCCTTCATCTCCAGGACTCTCCTTACCCCCTTTCCCTCCCTCCGCCTCCCTTGGAAAAAAAAAATCGCTGACAAGTGTGAATCCCGTGAAGACTTTATTTTGTGTTGTGTATGCTGTACAGCAAGGTTTGTCCTTCGTAACAACAGATGAAATGACCCCCCCCTTTTTTAGGCCTCGCCCCTCCCGCCCCCAGAGCCCCTGTCCGTGGCATGTTTTGTATCGGCGATCATTATGAACTGTACATAATTTATGTTGTGAGAGGCAAAGGGCAAGTTTTGGATTTTGCTTCTTCCAAGTTTGTTTTTAAAGGACAAATAAAAAAAAAAGCATTTTAAATACAAGTGGCCTGGAGTCGCTCGGTAGCGCCGCCGCCAGCGGCCTGGGGCCCGGACTGAGCTGGGAGGGGAGGGGGAAAGGCAACGCCTCTTCTGCCACTCGCAGGCGACTACCGGAAGGGCGGAGGCCGCACGTCCTTACGTGACGCGGGCGGAAGTGGGGTGTTTGTACCGGAAGTGACGAAAGGGGCGGATCCGGAAGGAAGTGGCCCGGAGGGCACGAAAGGAACTGGCGCGGAGCGGGATGGAGACGGTGAGAGGGAGCGGGTTGCGAGCCGAAGGGGTCGGCGGCGGGAGCTTCCGGTCCGGGTCCAGCTGGAACCCCACTGCCGGGCTGAGGAAGGAAAGGGAGGGGGGCCAGGGACATCGGGTCTCCTGCCTGGGCTGGCCCTTATCGGTGAGCCCTGTCCCTCACAGAGCCCGGCTGCCCTTAACGCTGAGGTTTCCTTGGGTCCCAACTAGCGTTAGGAAGCTGGGTTGTAGCCTGGACCTGCTCTCCTGAAGGCGGGTCTCCTTCTGTTCCTAGGCCCTGGGCCCGTTCCAGGCTGGAGCAGCCCTAGGCGCGAGGGAGCTTAGGGCGAGGGCCGCTTGTGCCAGCCCATCGTTGGGGAGCGTTCCCGTTGCAGTGGTCCTTCTTCCAGGGATCGCCCCACTCATTTCACATGAGCTGTTGTCCCTCACTACTCCTCTCTTAAAAAAAAAAAAAGGTTTTCTTTGCTAAGAGGAAAATTGGGACCTCCAAAAAATGACACAGGAAGTATCAACTTTGCAGATTTGGAAAGTGCCCTCGACTGGACTGGGATTCAGGAGAACTGGGTTCAAATAACAACTGCCATCAATGAACTGACCTTGGGCAAGTTACTTCATCTTTCTAGGCGCAGTTGGACCCAACGATCTACAAAATCCCTTGAAGTTTTTAGAATCTGAGAGTCTCTGACATGGGGCATGGAAACTAAGGACTGTGATGGAAACAGCAAAGAGCTCATGTACTAACAGCTAAATTGTCCTCAATCTGATCACTGAGTAAAATTCAGAATAAGTTATGTGTAGCCTGAAAGAGTACAACCCTCCACTTTAAGAAAGTAGCTAAGAAGGATTTGGCCAGCATGGGAGGAATGCCTTTGGAAGACATCCTGGGAAGAGCCGTGGCTATTGGATAACCTTCCATCTGCCTTTTCTCCACCCTGGGAAGTTCTTTTTTGTTTGTTTGTTTTTTGTTTCTTGTTTTTGGCTAGGCAGTGGGGTTAAGTGACTTGCCTGGGGTCACACAACTAGTAAGTGTTTGTGTCTGAGGCTGAATTTGAACTCAGGTCCTCCTGAATCCAGGGCGAGTGCTCTTTCCACTGGGCCATGTAACTGCCCCGTGGGAAGTTCTTATAAGTTAATTAGAGGGCTTTGAACATTGTAGGCACTCAGTAACTATTTGATGTTTTCTGCTTGAAGTTCTAAATATGTTCTCCTGAGTGACTCTTTGTATCTCATGAGTGACTTTTTGTATCAAATAAGATAATATATGTAAAGGGTTTTGCAAACTTTAAAGTGCTATGCAAACCTAGCTGTAATTATCTTTGTCTAGGTTTGCCTCTAAATGTATCTGTGACCAGATCTATACATTTGTATAGATTGTGTACGTTTGTGTTTGTTCAGATCCAGCGTTTCAGTCCTTATGTGCAGGTTTGTGTCAAATCATCTGTGCCCCTGTATTACTCCCTTAACTTTACATAGCAACTTTGTTCCCAGGCACATTCATCAGTACCCTACTATCTCAGTTCATTCCATACCACCTCTGGGAGGTAGGAAGGAGCAGAAATTTGTGAGGAGCAGATAATACAAGTGGAAAAATAGTCATAAAGATGATAAGGTCGCATAGCCCTATGTATGTTTGTGTCTATTCTGTCTTTGTCTTTTTCAACCATCTATGTCATTGTATACATCACCATCATAATCTTTTGCAGTAATTCAAATAATCTGTGATTCCATCCATATAAATATTCTCTCCATCAATAAAGATTTTAGCTTTTCTACAGCTTGGATGGATTTATAAGTTTCTTTGTCAAAAAAAAATCATCATTTGGTAACCATCCTTTTGGTGATGAGTTTCTCTGAATTTAGCTGGACTAATCACTGAGCCAATAGTCTAAGACATTCTGGCTTGGTAGAGGACTTGTCATTGTACTGTAGTATCTAATGCAAAACTGAAAATCACCTCCATGTATAGTGTGGCATCGGAGCGGGAAGTTTAGTGGAAGATCAACAACAAATATCTATTGTGTACCAGCCATATGCCTAGGTATTTAAATTCCTGCTTTCATGAAGGTTACGTTCTGGTTTGGAAGATAAGATATTTGTGTATGAAAAAATTACTACAATAGAAGGTAGTATATAAATCCAAAGTAGACAACTGCTCCAGTTCTTGATTTCTGTCTTCACGTGAGCCAGGCTTCGATTCTTTATTTTATGTGGTCCTGTCTGTGTTTTGAATATATCTCCTGTGTACATGTATGTATCTGCATTGCTCAGTGACCTTCAGTAACGTAGGTGACTAGATTTGTTCCGGTGACATTGCCAAAATGTTGCATGTAGCTGACAGGTTGCCCTGTGCTGCTAATAGCAGCAATGGAAAGAAACTTCTGCTTCCTTTGGGGATGGGGAGCTGCCCTTTCAGCTTGCCTTTGCCCTTTGTTCACTAGCCAGCAGAAGGACCCCAGTCAAGACCTTTAACCTCAGATTTTTTGCAAAAGCTTGTGGGGCAAAAGTGTTGTTTTTGGAACCATTCTCTGAGTATGTTGAGTTGGAGTTGCTAGTACAGATAAAAATCAGTGTAACTCCTTTTGGGCAACATTGACATCTCCAGGTGTCCCAAATTTGGGGAAATGTAGAGATTTGCCCAAGGTTTGGTTACTCTGAGCAAGGGGAGGAGGCAGGAACTGCCCCTTTACCCTTTCTGTAGGACAAGAAAGCAGAGGCAGTTAGCATTTCACTTGTCTTTGGGAGGCTCTGGCTCATCAAGTGATGCTAAAGTGCAAGAATGACCATGTCATTCTTCCCAGTCAATAAACTCCTTTAGCTCCATATTTTCTCCTGGATCAGATATAAAATCTTTTTGGCTTTTAAAGCCCTTTATAACCTGGCCCATTCCTGCCTTGGAAGTTTTCTTATACCTTACTACCCTCCGAATACTCTTGAGATCTAGTGACACTGATGTTGCTGTTCCTCAAATGAGACATTCCATCTCCCAACTCTGAGCATTTTCACTGGCTGTCTTCCATGTGTGGAACACTCTCCTTCCTTATCTTTACCTTCTGACTTTTCCGGCTTTCTTCAAATCTCAGTTAAAGTCCCACCTTCTGCAAGAATTCTTCCATAATCTCAGTGCCTTCCCTCTGAGGCTACCCCTTATTTATCCTGTATATATCTTGTTTGTACATAAGTATTTGCATGCTGTGAGGCTTAAATAAGATACTATTTGTAAAGTGCTTAGCACAGTGCCTGGCACATAGTAAAACGTGTTTAATAAATGTTTGTTCCTTTCCCTTTTTCCCCCATTAGAACCGTTTGTTACCTCTCTTTGTATCCCCAATACTTAGAGAAGTGCCTGGCATGTAGTAGGCACTTAATAAATGCTTGTTGACTGATCAGCTGAACTGACAAAAGGGATTGGGTTGGGATTTCAAAAAAGCATCTTAGCTGCAGAACATGTTTTGTGTTTACCCTCCATTTATTCAACTAATGGCTGCTGGTTTCTAGGGTACTCTCCTGCTGGCAACCTGTCTTCATGGTAGGGACCAAGTGGCATGGTCCTTATGCTCAAGATAATACTTGAGGAAGGCAGTGATATCCCACTGTCCTGTTTTTAGACCCCCATAACAGATTCTTTGGGAGTCAAGCTTAGGCCCATACTTTGAAGAAGCCTCGCCTAGGCTGGGAATCAGTAGTGTCAGTTTTGTTCTTTTTTTCCCCCCTTTTTTCTTTTTAGGCAATTGGGGTTAAGTGACTTTCCCAGGATCACACAACTAGTGTCAAGTGTTTGGTTTGAGGCCCAAATTGGAACTCAGGTCCTCCTGACTTCAGGGCCAGTGCTCTATCCACTGTGCCACCTAGCTGCCCCCACTAGTGTCAGTTTTGAAGCCTTTTGCTTTTATACTGCCTACCTTAATGTTAGGGGAGGAGTGGATTCAAGAACTATGAGGAACATAGCTAGGTTAGTAGACCCTAAGCTAGGCTTAGTTCCTTTGTTGTCCCTTCCAGGTCACTATTCCAGAGAGTGGTATGGAAAAATGCACCCCAGCTCTGGAAGGTAATGTATCTCATCACCATATACTCAAAGAAGGATGAGTGCTTCTGTGAAAAACAGTGGCCAGACTGTAATTTGTCTTCAGTTTCAGCAGGTTTTGTTTCTCTCTCATTGTACATGCTGGGGATATCATGGCAGAGCCAAAAGCCAGAGATATTAGGCCACTTCATAAGAATGAGAATCAGTAGCTTATGTAGAGAACAACAGGAGTAAGTTTGAAGTTATGGTGGTGCTTGTTAAGATTGTCATAAGTGATGTAGAAAATTAGTTGGGTTTTGTTTTGTTTTTTTCCAGGGTAGGGCTGGGCTATAGTCTGGAAGACTACATCCTAGAAGTCCCTGTTACCTATTAAAGACCTCAGAGCCAGGAACCACCAGCCTTTTGTCACCCAGCATCTATAATTAGATCACCCTGAGTGTGTACCTCCAAATCTGGGATGGCTTTGAAGACTTCTGCAGTTTCCCAGCATCTCAAGTCAGGAATAGAATGGATTAGGGATATAGTACTAAAATAAAATCTAAGACACAGGGTTTAGCAATCCGACAGTGTTCCCAAACTCTTACCAGTTTTGAGCCATTATGAAAGAACCCTGAATTACCTTTACAACAGCATCTCTTTATTGTGTGAAAGGCTTTAGAACCTCCTCCCAAAGTCATGAAGTGATCTTCTTCCATTTATTTATTTTAAAAAGAAGATTTGATTAATCACCCAGAAAGATGACACAAACCTTGCCTGAAGGAGAGCGAGCGGGATCAGGGCTGGATCTGTGATTTATTTGGTATAGAGAACCTCTTCTGGCTGAGGAGGCTCCATTTACCAATCCAATCAGTACCTTCTCTGCAACTTTTTAGTTTTAGAGAATTGCCTAGAGTACTGACTGGTTAAGGGACTTGCCTGGGGTCACATAGCCGGTATGTGTCAGAGATAGACTTGATCTCAGCTTGCAGGACAACCCTATATCCACTATGCCACACTGCCTCTCTAGAACTTATAATTTAAAAGAGTAGAAGGAAAGACATGTACACAAATAACTATGGTAGTGAAGGAGTGGTCCAGGAAAAGTAGCATGTAAAATTTGAGGAAAGACCACTTTGACTGAATTGGGATGAGAGGGAAGGAACTGGTAGCGAAGTTGAGTTTTTAAAGGAAGGGGGAGACTTTCATCATTAGGAGATATCGAGTGGAGAATTAATTGAACTAAGGAGAATAATACAAGTTTGGAGAGGAGTGAGAAGGATGAGAAGAGGGGATATAGGCTAGTCTAGTCTGGCTCGAAAGTAGAGTATAAGAAAATGAGTAGTATGAAATAGGACTAGGAAGGTAGATTGGAGGCTGAAAGGTTGTGGAAACTCTTGGGTGCCAGGGAAAAGAGCTTTTAATCCATTAAGCAGTGGGCAGCCATTGAAAACTATTGAAAAGATTATTGACATAAGGAAGATTACTGGGGCAGCAGTGTGAAGAATGAATTAAGAGTGGAGAGCAGGAAAGCCAATTAGGTGGCTCTAAATATGCCCCTCTTGACCATTCCTAGAACTCCTTGAAGGTACTGTGGGCTTCCCAGACAGACCTTTATACTAGCCTCAGAGACTGTAGAGGCTCCATGGGGTTTGGAATAATGGCTGAGGATAAAGGATAGAGGCAGCTCTCTTCCTTATGTTTAAAAAAAACCCAAAACACAGGGCACAGGATGGTATGCAGTGCAGACTATGGATATTTCCCTAGTTTGACAAATAAAAAGACTGAGCTGGAGATCCTGAACTTGCCCTCTCTCTCAAGGCCTCACTACTAATACAGACTGTTTATGGATTTTTCTTACCCATCAAATGAGCTTCCAGGATCCTACACCCAGTCTGACCTGGCCCTAGACTTATCCTCAGAACCTTAGAGGGCAGGAGGGGAATACAGGGAGCAGGAAGTCCCATCCAACATGGCATTTTACTGACGTACACCAACATGGTATTGAATTGGAATGGCTTGGATAAGGCAGTCAGTCATTCCCATCAAAAGCTCTCTGAGGCATCACAAGACTCTTACAATTATTCTCCTTTCAAGATAAGAGCAGGAGGGAATGAGCAGAAGTTATGAAGGAAAAACTTAGCTCAGACTTAGCTTAGAGAAGAACCGTCCAGACAAGAACAGGCTATCAAGAGATTCTCCTTTGGAGAACTCTGAGTAGAACATTCTCTACCTGACAGCCATTGGTATAGTCCTGCTGAAAGATGATGAAATAGTCTCTAGCTTGGGGGAACTGAGAATAAGATTCAAAAAGACCTTATCTAGGTTTTGTGGGAGCAAGAAAAGCAAGGCAGGGCTTTGTGGAGAGCAACCTTAGTGTTTGGGAAGCTACGGCCCTCAAGTATGTGTTCTTCTTTGACAGAAAGGTGGGGGAGGGGGTGGGGGAGCAGGGATCACAGCAGCAGGATGAAGGGAGAACACTAACCTCCACATGCTCTGCAGAAACCCCAGAATCCAACAGTGCTGTCTATACCTGTTTCATGAAATCCCATCGGTGCTATGATTTGATACCCACGAGCTCCAAACTGGTTGTGTTTGATACCTCCCTGCAGGTGAGTGAGGCTTTTATCCTTACCCTTTCCCTGAGGCCTCTAGCTTTTTATATCCCTTCCAAAGCCATTGTAGGACTACTCTTACCCTACTTTCCTCTTATGCCTCTTCTCCTCCTCCAGTTTCTGTCCTAGTGACCCTTCCTTCTCTATTACTCATCTCCTGCCTGCAGGTAAAGAAAGCTTTCTTTGCCCTTGTCACAAATGGAGTTCGGGCAGCCCCATTATGGGACAGCAAGAAACAGAGTTTTGTGGGTAAGCAGGGGTCCACGGGAAGGATGATGTCATTGTGCTAGGCATGGACGGAAGTTGAGGGTAGCACTTGGGATTCCCTCATCTCAGGGCGGTGGGGAAGGCAGTACAATTGCTAAGTATCCATTTGGCTTCCAGGTATGCTGACCATCACTGACTTCATCAATATTTTACACCGTTACTACAAGTCAGCCTTGGTGAGGAACCCACAGCCCATTGATTCTGATGCCATAGTCGGGGACCACTGATTCCTCTTTAGTTCCTATCTCCAAACCCTGCCACTGATTTTCCACAATGTCTTCTTTGTGGCCTCTGGTCTGCTTCCTCCATAGGTGCTTGTCCCTGCTCCACCTCCCAGGGAACAGGCTATCAGGGGGCTAATGGAACAGAGTGATAAAAGCCCTAAACCGTGTTATCTCTATTCCAGGTACAGATCTATGAGCTGGAAGAACATAAGATAGAAACCTGGAGAGGTTTGTAGTAGGGGGTCACAGGGAGACAATGGGCTTGGAACATTTCCTTGGGAAGCTGTTTTCTTTGGTGGCATTTTGTGTGTAAACCATCTCTTCTTCTCTCAGAGGTGTACCTTCAGGACTCCTTTAAACCTCTTGTCTGCATTTCTCCTAATGCCAGGTGAGCTGCCACCCACTTTTTCAGAATCATCATCAAAAGGAACCTGGAGAGGGTGGGGGGAGTAGTGACCCCATACATACATGCCTTGTGGGTGGTCTGACCTTGCTCATTGCTCCTAAACCCTCTATAACCTGAATCTAGAGCTAATCATTACTATTTCCTTCCACAGCCTTTTTGATGCTGTTTCCTCACTGATCCGAAATAAGATCCATAGACTGCCAGTCATTGACCCTGATTCTGGCAACACTTTGTATATCCTCACCCACAAACGTATCCTCAAGTTCCTCAAGCTCTTTGTAAGTGCTATTTCTCTTCCTCTCTGACTTCTCCCATCACCACATATACTATACTCGAGCCTAGCTGGGCTGGGTTAGGGAGTTGGTGTCTGAGGGCTCTTTGGAGGAGCTGACTGTCTGGTTGATTGGTCTCCCTACCAGATTGCAGAGTTTCCCAAACCGGACTTCATGTCTAAGTCTCTGGAGGAGCTCCAGATAGGCACGTATGCCAACATTGCCCTAGTGCGTACCACCACACCTGTCTACGTTGCATTGGGCATCTTTGTTCAGCACCGGGTTTCTGCCTTGCCTGTGGTAGATGAGAAAGGTAAGGAATAGGGGAGGGAGAAAAGAAGAGGTAGAGGGAAGTCTGTGTCCCAGGGGTGTTCTGTGGGCAGTGGCGGGGGCTCCATTGCTGGATCCCAAGCCCTTCTGATTAAGATGCCCCTATTTTCACAGGGCGTGTGGTGGACATCTACTCCAAGTTTGATGTTATTGTGAGTGACTCCAGAGGAATCAGGTGGTAGGGAAAAGGAAGGGAAGATTGGGGAATGTGGGAAGGAAAAGGAGGGAATTCTTCTTTGTAGGTTCAGGGGGACACTTAACTGGCCTCCACATCTTGATGTGAGAAAAGAACTAAATCCTTTACTGGCTGAGTGTGGACTGAGAGATGACCCAGTTCTCTTGAGCTCTCCATTTCTAGTGGGATGGAATGGGATGGAATTGGGGTTTGGGGAATTGGAAACCATGCTTTTTGGGCTCTTTGCCTTCATTTTGCCAGAACTTGGCTGCAGAAAAAACCTATAACAACTTGGATATATCTGTGACAAAAGCACTACAGCATCGATCCCACTATTTTGAGGGTGTACTCAAGTGCTACCAGCATGAAACTCTGGAGACGATCATTAACAGGCTGGTGGAAGCTGAGGTAGGGAAGGAGAATCAAAATACTTGGGAATGAGGGGAAAGCCATGACTATTTGGAATGAAGAGGGAGGCTTGGAAATAGGGAGTGGGATCATGAAAGTTAATTCACTGAGTTTAGCTTGAAAGCTCCTTTCCTTTCTCTCTTGCCATTCTGTGCTAGGTTCACCGGCTGGTGGTTGTGGAAGAAAACAATGTGGTAAAGGGCATCGTGTCACTGTCTGATATACTACAGGCCCTGGTGCTCAGAGGTGGAGAGAAGCCCTGATCTGAGTGGAGAGGAATGCATAGAATGCACCATACCTGTGATCAGTTGGATGGGATACTAGAGGCTCTGATCCCTTTTATGAAGCTCACCTACTCACCCTACCTTACAGAAAGGGTATAAAGGGGTAGAAAAACATAGAAACCCACACACTTCAAAGGAGTAACCTGTAGCCCAGGCACCAACCATCTGCACTGATCCCCTGCTTGAACTAAGGGCTGTGTGTCCCTCATCCTAGGTAATTCTGGTCTCTAAGAGATCCCCAGTCCTTTCAGCACACACCCTGCTCCTGTGTCCTGAGATAATGTACCAAGAAACTCTAAAAATGTTTTTATTCTTCCTGATACAAAAGGAGTTAGGGGGTGGGAGGGAGACAGTGCAGTTTCCTTCTGTAATGATGTTGGTGGGGGAGTATGTCCTTTAGATTCTTGCTGTCTTTTTCCCTGCTGTGCTTCCCACGTCTTGGGGAGTTGGAAAGGGTGGCTAGTTCAGATTTATTTTTCATAGTGATTCTAATTAAAATGACAAGGATGCCCATATCCTACAGTATTGTGTTTTCTTTGGGGCTATAACCTTGACCTCCATATCTGTGTCTCCTTCTCCTGGAACAGGCTTATTACACTCCACATCTCTCCTTTACCCAAACCTAGTCCTTCCATGCTCCCAGCCTCCTCTCCTTCTGCTGTGATTGGGAGCAGAAGTTAATGCCTTGCAAGTACAGTATCTCCAGAGAGGAGGTAGGGCCCTTTGCCCCTACAGACGGAAGTTAGTGCCCAGCCCCCTCCCAACACCACCACCCCATACACCTCCCTGCCATGAATGTTCCAGGGACCCCCTCCCCCCAAGTGATGCTGGGAAGGCAGGACTAGGCTTAGATTCTGCTGAACTGGCACAGTGTGTGAGCTTGCAAATCCCTTTTATTGCCTCTGCTGCCTTTCCTAAAAGCTGGGAATGGTTTGGGTGGCAGGGTGGGGAGAGCAACAGTTCCAGAGGTAACACATTTAATCCTCACTTGCCTGAGTACTGACATGCAGACAGAAGCCACCAAATGGCACCTCGAACAGTGAGTTAGGGAGGCCTGGGGTGGGGGCTCTGGAGGGGAGGTGGGAGGACAGGAGGGTCAAATGCTAGCCTACCTCTCAATCTTGCCTTGCATTTTCCTCACTTAACAGTTTCAGAACAACTCATTTTGCATTCTTCACTTCTTATTCTTCCCTATGCTACTTCCCCAAAGTTCAGGTTTCTTAAAGTTAGGGAGGCTGTTGGAGAAAAGGCATGGGTTTCTGGGCATGCCTTTGTGGGGAAGGGGTACAAGTCCTAGGATACTCCCTAGGTAAAGAGGTTCTACTGTGATAGGCCACCACCGTGCTACATAGGCCCACACAGCACATTCCTGATCTTGAGGGAGGTTTCTGAGTGATTAGATGAGTTAGGGAGTATGCACATTCCATGAGGACAGGGTAGTGGGGGAGAGTTTGGAGAAGAAACTTTAAAAGATCCAGTATTCTGATAAGACAAGAGACAGAGACAGAGGCACCTTCACTTTTACTTAGCTATTACAATCACTGGAGCTAGGTAAGTACCTGGGCTCAGGGCAGGAATGAGGTGGGGGGGGGAGAAGAGGAGGCAGGTAAGTAATGTTATTGAAGTCTTTTCTCTAAGGAGTAATTAATGATGAGGATATGAAGATTTGGAATTATGATGCTTGAATTTTCTGTGTCTGCCTCAGTGGAAGTGGGCATTTAAAGGGAGGTTTAAAAAAGAGTAGAGAATGCCTCCTATTGCTCCATTCTCTACTTTACCCGGTAACAATCACTGCTGACCCTCTCCCCACCCCCACATACTCACATCCCTTTTCCTACCATACCTGTTTTAAGGGGAAGTGCAGGGATTTTTTTTTTTTTTTAGCAAATCAGGATTCCTTGCTATCTACCACTACCACCTCTGAACCTTAAGTGACCTCTTTGGTTAAGGGGCCAATTTTGGAAGTCCCATCCATTTTCCTCCACTATTGCTTATTCCTTCCTTTCTTTGAAGAGAGTGAGTGGTAAGGGAGGAATGTTATCTGTGCTTCCCCAGGAACTACAGCCTTCCCTACCTACACTTGAACTGCTAGCATGGTTGCTATGCATGGTTGCTAAGTCTCTGCATGGTGGGTTTGGCGTGGGTTGTGCTGTTACTAACATTGCCATGGTAAAGTTGGGAACCACCTGTAATAATGCTGGGGGAAGGGACCATCAGAACATCTTTTCCTGCTCTTGTTATCTTAGCCAAAAGAGGGACCAGTGATAGGTGGACATCCTAGGCAGCAACAGGGAAAGTGTATTCACAAAAGGGAAAGGGGAGGGGTCCAGCAAATGCAAACACGGCATTTTGTTTGTCCTTCGTTTTCGCTTAGTTGCACAAAGGTTAGTGCAGAACTGGGAGCATTTCCATTCTACCCATCTTTATTTCCTAAAAGTGTAGAAACTCATCCTACTCGTAGTTCAGGGCTTGCCAGAGTGGTGTGTGGGCATGATAGGGAACGTCTCTTCTTACCTTCTGGGTTAGTGGGGGAAGAGACTGATTGCCATAATGGTCCTTCCCTCCACCCGGAACACTTAGAACTGTTTAGGTGATAGTGATAGTGCAGGGTGAAAGGTGTGTGGTCTCCAAAGCAGGACGCTAGTGTCACCGACGCCAAGGAAGTAAGGAGGAGTTGGAGGGAGGGGAGGCGGGACTTTAGAGCTTGGGAACAGCAGCTCTCAGCTCTGAGCTGAGCACGAAACGACCGCCTCCTCCCTCTGCTGCTGAGAAGCGGGTTACTCATCTCCAGCACCCGCACCACCGCTAAAAATAGCCCCCCAAGAGCCTTGGGGCCGCCCCCTCCCTTTCCCCTGCCCCCAAACCCATGGAAACAGGCAGAGGGTGGAGAGCGAAGACCTTGAATTCCAAAGGGACATTTTCTTATTCTAAATGGAGAAGCCGGCTAGAGTCAAGGAAAGCCAGGGATGGAACCCAAGTATCGGGGCACCCAGACTAACTGTAGAGTAATGGGTTACGACAGCAACATTTGGTAGGGGGGAGAAATTCAGAGGGCGGAGGAAGAGGAGATGACCTTTGGTACCGAGTTGAAGAATCCTCTCCACTTTCCAACTGGTCCCGCTTGGGTTTGGGGGGGAAGGGATGGAAGTGGGGAGTGTCCGGGTCGGCAACCGAAGACTGCCGCGTGCTGTGTGGGAGAAGTAGCAACACAGAACAACTGCCCTTGTCACATGCACGCACACATACATACACACACACAGACACACACGTGTGCTCGGGTATATATAGTCCCCAGTCCTTGTGTACGCCGCTCTGCAGCGGGTACAGGCTTCCTAAGCTCGTAGGGGGCTCTTGGGGTGGGTGGGTGGGGGGTTGGGGTTGGGGTGGAACAGGATGGTGGATGGCCCGCTGTTTTCCGAGGGGCCAGGCAGCCCCAGAAAGCCCCATGATGGAGAGTCTGCCGGCTGTTTATGGGTACAGAAGTCCAAGCTGTTAGTGATTGAAGTGAAGACCATCTCCTGTCATTACAGTCGCTGGGCCCCTGCTCACCAGCCCATGGACCCTACTGGGGGTCCTTGGGCCCAGGAACCTTCAAGCCACAGGTGAGTCTGAGGGCTAATTGGGAGAGCAGGTTGGGAGAAGGGCACAAGGAAGGGCAGTTTAGGTCCTGACCTCTCCGCTACTTACATACTGATTGTATGATATTGCTTATGCCTCACTGCACTCCTACTCCCTCAAAACGGGTGGGTCTAGGGTTACCTGGGGGTGGGGGGGGGGAAACGAGAGATGGACTGGTATTAATGAATCTGAGATAGAGGGGGAAATTGTGTGAGGCTTACACGATTAAAGTGTGACAAAGAAGCAGTGTGTGAAGCTATCCAGAGAACCTAGTCACCACAATAAAATATTCCATATTTATACCTGCCCCCTCCCCAACTTAATTCTATAACCCTTCCGCACCCCACCCCATTAGTCTTCATGGCTACCCTTTACTTCCCCCGTGCTTGTCCCTCAGCTTCACTGACCGCTCACCTGGGTTCCTGCTTATTGTCCCAGGTATGGGCTGGGCCAGAAGCCCCAAGAGCGGCTGTTTCGCCGGGCATGGGTGCCCCGAGTGTTGCAAGAGGCAACCAACTGGGGGACAGGGCACCCACCCGAGATCCGACCGAGGGAGCAAGAGAAAAGGAAGGCGGCCTCTCAGGAGCGTGAGGCCAAAGAAACAGAGAGAAAGCGGCGCAAGGGAGGTGGGGGTCGAAGTTGGAGCCCTCCAGGCCTTTGCCGTTCAGAACGCCGGAGTCCACTGGGCCGAGCCCGGGGCGGAGGTGGGCCCCGCCCCGAACCTGGGAATGTCCCCAAGGCCGCCCAGCCTAAGGCCCGTCGGGTGCCTTGGTTGCCAGAGCACCTTGGGCCATCCGGCCGGCCGCCCCGTCCAGTAGCGCAGTCGCTACGAGAGCCTGGCGCCGCAACTCGAGCGGGGCCCCGGGTGGGGCGGCCGTCCGGGCCTCCCAGTTATGAAGCCCACCTGCTCTTGAGAGGCGCCGCCGGGCCGGTCCCTAGGAGGCGCTGGGACCGGCCTCCACCCTACGTGGCTCCGCCTTCTTATGATGGCCCCCACCGGACCTTGGGGGCCAAACGGCCCCCGCAGCTTCCCCGGCTGCCCGCCCCATTAGCTCCGGCCCCTGCTGTAGAAGGAAAAGATAGGGAGGAGCGCCCCAAGAAGAGGCTGGATCCGCGGATCTACCGCGACGTTCTAGGGGCTTGGGGGATTCGGCAGGGCCGGGGCACCCTGGGTGGGTTTCTAGGCTGTGGAGGGCCTGGGCTTGGAGGGAAGACTTCAGACAAGGTCCCTGGGTTCTCTCCTGTGGGTCTCAATAGCAGCGGCAGCGAGAGCTGCCCACAACCTGGGGCCAACCAGACCACAAGAGCAGAAACAGTAACCTCTGGTACCCCCCAAACGACAGTCAGAGCCAAGCTCCCTCTCAGGGACACCTCTGAAGGGGAACGAGCAGGAGAACAAAGCTGGTCCCGCAAGACCTGGGGGCCTTCCCCTGGAGACCAGCCGCCTCAGCACAGCCAAACCCTACCTAGACCCTGGGCCCCTGGGGGCCCAAGAGAGAAGGAGTCCCCGGGAGAGAGGGGTGGGTCCCAGAGGCCTTCCAAGTTTCCAACCGACTGGAAGGAGACCCAGGGAGCTCATACTGTGCCCCGCAGCCCCCGTAGTTCTGGTGGGGAAAACGGAGTGTTTGTCATTGACGCCACGTGCGTTGTGATTCGGGCCCAATTCATCCCTACC